TACTGTGCGTATGCCTCGATATTACCTTAGGTTATTAGATTATTTCTGTTATCATGACAGGTAAACATAATAGGAGTTTCTGTCAGTTTCTACAGATAATAAACATGTGAAATCAGAATTACTAACAGGTTTGGATAGTTGACGGAAATTATTTAAAAAATGTATCTATGCGATATGCTTTATAGATCCACATTGAAATGCGTTAATATCTTTAGTAGTATTAGTTAAATAATAGCGAAATCCTTTAGTGGCCCGGGATGTGACTCCAGTGAGATGGTTTCTGACTGATATTGAGATATACATATCGTCAATCCTCGTATATTATCATCGACTTAAATCGCGTTAGTGAACAACGGAATTAAATAAAATAAATACGAGGATGGATTTTGAATATATACATTTCATACACTCATTGATTTGAACAGGCAATCGTGGAATGAAGCGAAGAGAAGTGAGCGAAGCGATATGACGCGCAGTGGAGAAGGCATGTGAGCCAACTCCATTTAACCAAGCGTTAATCAATATTTATAGTCACACAGAATTAACCTACAGACATGTGATGAATGGAATAAGAAAGGTACACATATACACTTACATAAAAACAGTCAAGGTTGATAAGTGAATAATTAACAAGGTCAAAAGTGACTCAAGTAGAATGAATAGATTGGTCTATCCGAAAGCTAAAATTAAAATTATCTGTTTGTTTTGTATAGAAAAATTAGGAGTGACATCTTTAGTATTGTGGATAATAATACTTGAATTAGACAAAAAAAATTAACCAAAATACATCGATTTTTCACTGTAAATTGCACAATCCAGCCTATATTTCTTTTCCTATTTCTTCGTTCTCGTCACTTTCAGTGATTCACTTATATCCAAAGTTTAACTTTGTTCCAGTCACTTAGTCTTAAGCAATTGATAATATTCTTATTTCAATGATATCTAACCTTAGTATATTTTACAGTTTCAAACTGAACGAAATACCTTCAATTTACTTAATATGGTTATGAATTTAGTTTAATATTACACACATTAATTTTTCTCCACAAAGTTCGTACTCTTCTCGGACCCAAACAAATAGAAGGGCGGTAATCACTATATCGCTTTGTGAACATCAGCATTAGTGTCCAAATCAATCCTTTTTTTGGAGTTTCAAGTAGGACTAAATTCATATGTTCAGGATCCCATCGCTTGTCACAATCCAGAAAAAAACCCGACTTTTTTTTTAATCAAGCGACTTATTTTACTCATTGTTTATGATATTTTCACTGATAATTTTTCTAACAAGACAATTCTTTCTTTTCTCTAAAAAATTCAATTATTTATAGAAAGTCTGTTAACTCAGATCGACCGAAACAATTAACTGTTTCCAATCCTTACATACAGAATAAAAATGATTTAAACAGTTCACTACAGTTAATCGACAACAGTTTCACTGAAATCAATGAATCAATTGTTGGCGATATTTCTGTTCAATTGAATAATAATAATCCTAAGAATAAACTGGATAAAATGGTCACTGAAGAAGAAGAAGATGATACTGTTTTCCCAATGGATTAGAAGAATTTGATTGATTCTATTCTTTGTTCGTTTATTTGAAACAAGATAGCGATAAACAGCGCAGCCACGATTGAATATAATATTGATACTAGTTATTTGTATTAATTGAGGGTTGTTGCACTTCCTTTTTATTTAATAAATTAAATATGATAACAAACATTTTACATCTTTGTAGTACCTATTTGCCTTCAGAAATCTTATCAGTTTTTGCATTCTTCCATAATATATGTACATGGCTTAAGAAAATAGAATACACAAACTGCTGAATAATGATATGTACATTCATATATATTCTCCGGTCGTGATGAAAACACATATTACATACATCAATCTATGCATACGCAACATATTCTTTTACTATTGTGTTTCTTTAGTTAACAGAAACATAAATAGATGTTCACCACTGGCCTATAATTACCCGTTTTTGTGGTGAAATATAACTCAATCGAACAGTTTAATCTTTTTCTATATGTATTTCATGTATTTTCATTTCTTTTATAAAAATCATGATATATAATAAAATTTAATTGTTAAACCCGATAATTAAGTAGTTAGCAGTCATACTCCTCTCACTTAGTTTTGTTGAGTGATCTAACATATTTACCATTTATAAGTGTATTTATATACAATGTTTCCAATGTTCAGCAAGTATCCTATATCTAACGATTTCGTCCACTTTTTGCTCATTTAGTGGGTGAGTGATGCACATCGGAATGTAAGTTTTACCGAACGGTTTCATTTCAAGAGTCTAGAGTTATCCTCAATCGTTCACTATATATATGACACTATGGCTCAGCCTTCTACGCCGGATAGAAAACACAAATATCAAGGAGTTTAGGGCTTAAATTAAAATCCATGATCAAAGATACACTATAATATTCGAGTGTTTGAACTACTTACAGATTATTCGACGTTACAACGAATAGACGTTATAAACTGTATTTTTAAATTGATAGACAATAACATTATGTATTGAATATCAGTAATTAACGTAGTATAATACATAAAAGAAAGAAAAATTCAATTAGAAACCACATGGCAGAATTACTATAATGATAAAAACAACATTTCAGCGTACGATTCCTTTTAAGATGTTTAAATGATATTCAAAAATTCTAAAGGAAATTGCCAAGATTCAAATGATGTGATATAGGAAAATTAATTTGAAGGTAGATAAGTGAATTATGAAAAGGTAACAAATAAGTAAAAAAAACGATTTCAAGTGTAGGGGTTGTGGAGATTATTACGTTTTTGATTGAGATCATGAACCGATTGATGTTAGACCACCACCATCCTGCGAGCGGGATCGTCGATGCGCACTGCTGAGGAGTCCCACGATAGGACGAAAAGGCCGTCCAGTGCTTCCAGGTTTCTAAAGGTGGTGGTCTAACATCAATGGGTTCATGATCTCAACCAAAACGATTTCAATTAAATATTTCTCTGTATACAACTCAAAATTTAAATCGTGAATGACTAGAGCTTTTGTAAGGTAGAGTTGGCTTAGTTGTTTACACCACTGGGAATCTTTAAATGGATTATTTTAAAGAACCAATTTGAAATGGAATATTTTTAATCGATTATATTTTAGGGAATCAAGGATATTATTAGTCGATGTTGTCTTTTACCAAGCGATCTTGGTAAATGTAGAGATATACTGTTTTGGTTAAAAATTAAATAACCTAATATAGGATGTTTGAGTATTTCATTGTAACACAAACTGTCTATAGTTAAAAATGGTCGTGTTCTACCAAAACCCTGACAACTTAAAGTTTCATGACCTACAAATTAAAAATGTATAAAAACCAATATTTGTTAGCTTTGACAAATTAACTTGATAATCATCTATAGTCTTCTAACCGAAAAGAATATCTCTGAATGCACTATGATTCACATAAATGGCAGATGATCATGTTAGTTTAATCTCATCATATTGTATCAGTATTGTATGTGACTGAAGTGATAAATGCGATAAATAATTACTTCTATTGGAATATTTTCAGAAAAGAAGTACAGATAATTCAGTACTATATAAAATTTGCATCAAATAGCTGGTACGTAAACTCAGTATATATTTTCATTATTACTCAGCTAGCTGAAAAATTTGTGCTGTATGAAAGTGGGGAAGCTAGCACTGAATTTATAACACCACTTATATTCTACATTTATATACGTGGTATTTTCAACTACATGAATTGAGTAACTAGCATCATTTGGAAAAACTCAGGAACTTCACGAAACTTTGAAGACTGTTTATGAAGAAAATACTGGATCAATTAATTTATAAGCAATGATTCTGAGTTAGGTAAGCCATCAAACCAATGTGTTGATGAAAACAGCAAGCATGTCTTGTGCTTTGTACTTTTTAATCAAGGATTGACTTTCCGGATGGTTGCCGATCAAATAAACTTAAGGAAATCATATGTGTCCGTTATATGAAACGATCCCAAGTTCTGAGAATGCTTTGTATAATGGAAATGCAGGTTGGATAAGTGTGTCATTACAAATATGGAGTATTTAAAAGAGGAGTAAAGCTGGTATACCCTCGGATTTATTAAACAAACTTTTTACGACCTCAGAATACTAACTGAAGAGATTAATGCACTTAGAGACAATCGGAAAAATCATTTTTCTCCAACACTGCTAATCTTTATTCCGACTTTATTGAAAGACTGTAATTTTATAGTAAGATGGACAACCTAGTATCGTAGTAAGCAAAGTCACACTTGTGATTACTCACACGTTAATCATTGGTTTACTTCAATTTATTATCAGCCTTTGGGATTTTTACCTTATTGCTAGAATCTCCCTGCGTAGTAACTTGATTGTCATGCCACATGAAATCAATGCTAAACAGGTATGAGTTTGATAGGTATTACCCGTGGTGTGTCTTCGAATTGCATGCAGTCAGGAAAACTGTACAGTTACAATTATTGATTTTACTAAATGTAAGTGTAGCAAGTATGGGTGATATGTACATATGTGCGTAACTTGGCTATCAATTGGGCAGACATGCAAGGACATTCAATGAATTTTTTTTATACAGTCACGGACCGCAGTCCAGATGAGGTTAAAATATGTATACTGTCTATTTTTCTACTGTAAATACACAGATATCATTATCATGGTCAAACAAGTGACCAAAGCAGGTATAAGACATTGGCGCATGTTGTTCAATAGTTAGTCAATAAACACAACCTCACACAAAATGGTTGTACATTACAAAATGTATGGCAATGGATTAGTAAATCCCTTGGTCAAGGTTCCTGTTCATTTAAAAGCCGTGAATGAAATCAATCCCATTATCCAATGTTTTACGGGATAACCTCTCAGCAAGTTGTGAATATTATACTGAAGCAAACTTGATTCACTGAAATGATGTTTTTCCAGTAATGGTCAAGAAAAATAAAAGCGTCCATGTAAAGTTTAATAAGTATATTTGTAGTTCTTTGTTTGCATTCAATTGTTTACATAATATTTTCATGTACGGAACTTCTCTCCATCTCTCAGGGTTTGTTTATGACTCAATAATCAACTCTTCTCGTTACCTAGTATTCCTGACGTCTCTAAGATCTTCTTGCACCCTCTACTTCTATTGAAAAATAAATGAGTTATAAAGAGAAGAGTTATATTTCTGAGAAACTTTCCATTGTGCATAATTACTGTGAATTTGTTAAGCAAATTGGTTTATAACGAATGAAGACTTCAAATAACAACATTAGTTCACTAACACAGAAATCTATTTACTGCTTAAGCCTCGCATACAGTTTACACATGTCATTCAATTTCATCTTTTCCTAATTACATAACTCATTTTAACTGAATCATAATGCAAGAAAGGTACCGTGTGACTGGGAAAATTTACGGGTTTACATATGAATTCATAGCCTTATGTGTACATGTACAATAAAATAAAAGATACATGTGACAAAAGTTTTTGATGAAAAGTGGTTTCTGTGTGTGTTAACAAGCGCTAAGATAAGGCAATTTTCAATATTCTACCTACCCTGACTTTATAACAAATCAATGTGTAATGTTTTATAGGATAGCGTAGAACACTTCGAAAGTTAAAACTCAAATGACAATATTGTCGTTATACACTACACATAATGAACAAGTTATTGTTTTGTTTCACTTAATCCTGAGTACGTCCAAGTGTTGACTATTTTTTAACAGTTTCTTCTGATATTTTGTCAACAACAAGATAATTGCCTTCTTTACATAACTTAACTTTGAGGTTATTCATCATAAAAGATACCATACTTTTAAGATTGCGTAGAATCGGATAAAACATTATAACTACTTATTGAAATGACATGGGGAAAATTTGTCAGAAAATTGGCTGTCATAGTACTTCGACGTTTAACATACATGAAATATGTGTTGATTAATGATGCAACAAACGACTCCATGGTCTTTGCAAGGCTACATATCTAAGAAATGTAATTGTGGACATGATATTGTGAGTAATCGAACTGTTCATCTAACAAAGCTAACTTATTTCGGTATCCGAAGGTTGGATACATTATTATTTAGCCATTATCAATCAAACTTTTCCCGTTCAGCATTAATTTTCTTATTCCAAGTCAAGTGTTTAAGCTAGTGTACATAAATTAAAGCAGAGGTGAATAGTGGTCATCAGTGAAATCCACAACTCGCTTCTCGTCCTATTTGGAACTTATCAGCTTGATATAACTGCATCCCAAAGTTGATATCCACTCCAGGACTTTACCCAAACTCCATTGTGTTATCCACTTAGCTACTGACCTCAGATAGCCACTAGCTTGTATTTGTGAATTTCTTATTCATTTTTATATTGGTTATCAGTATGGGTCTTGGAGATTGTTGAGTTTTTGGTTGAGATCATGAATAGATCAATGTTAGATCACCATTAAAAACCTTGAAGTACTGGACGGCCGTTCCGTCCTAGTATGGAACTCCTCAGCAGTGCACGCGAGATTCGAACCCAGGACCTTCGGCCTCGCGCGCGAACGCTTAATCTTTAGACCAATGATCCAGCATCTAACGGTGCAAATGTCTAACTTCAACCAATTCATAACATTGTGCGACCATCTTTCAATATCTAAGGTAGATATTTGTCTCTACCTGACATGGATTAGCTACACTGGTAACGGCTTTTCACTAGAACTCCGAGAATTACTTCTCGAAGCTAGTCACTAGCGGGCACGTGGTCATTATCACTATGGGTCCTGGGGATTGTCGAACTATTGGTTGAGATCATGGACGATGGCTAGCAGTGGAATCGAGGTCTGCCGTTTAGTTCGTCTCTGCTTATGATGCTTCTGACTAGAGGCAATATCGAGGCGATCCACATAGGATACATATATGCCAACAAGAAGCTGATCAATTTAAGTCCTAAACATCAAATTCAAACAACCAATCCAAAAATGAATAAGTATACATAAATCATTAAATCCGATAATTATCTTAAAAAGAAATGACCACAAAATATTGATGTACCAGTTTCGCCCATTAAATGTATAAAATAGCGACATATATCATAATATTTACATACTAATTTGATAACACAATTGTACTTTACTCACATGGCAACTTTACGAACACCTTTTTTCATGGAGATCTCAGTTTTGTTAGCTGGAGTGAAATCCATACTAAGTTTACAGTCTTGAATTCGAATTTTCAGGTGATTTTTTGAATCTAAACTATACTTTTCGTGTCCAACTTTGATTTTTCGATTGCCTAAAATTAATTTTAGGAAATTATATTATTAATAATCGGCATCGAATTATGAACATTTTACTTGTAACATTGTTTAAACTGAAGAACTTATTTATTGCTGATTTTTTGATGTTTGGAGATTCTAACAGAATTGTTTATGTGTTTAACGCAAGAAAATGAATACAATTAAGTTTTTCAGATTGTTAAGACAATAAATTTAGTTTTATTTAAAATAGCCCGCCGTTTGAATATGGTTCATATACTTAGGTGAGCAGTGATGTCTCGATACACCTGCACCGCCGATACTCTTGAGTGAATTTGAAGAAATATGACTATTTGAAAGAGCATTATAAATAACATATTACTTATAGTAAGTTTTCTTTTCAGTAATCTAAATAATGGATAACATACTGAAATTCTCAATTGATTGATCACTGGGTGGTGATCAATGTCATGCTTGTCTAGTCCTTATTCGTGCAGATCGAATGCCATCGATCGCCAGGTAGCATCAGTTCCCTCAAGATTACGGTTACACCTTGCTGACGAGTGCCAAGTAGCACGAAACCCGGGTCCAGGGTTTCCTGTTGACTACCTCCAACCATCATCTAATACTGAAATTCTGTTTTCTTATTGGCAAAATTGATTATACCAGCTTAAAAGTTCAGACAAAATTGTTTGAACTGTTTTATAATATTGATCAATAGAAGAAAAGCACCTATGAGAACAGTTGATTTAGAGTATCATTTTCAAGCCCGCTAATAAATCGATATGTATTAGAAAGACTGCACTGTCAGTTATTCTACTAGTTCCAAATTCTCGCTACATCTCTAACCAACCAACCAATCCATAAATGTATTCTGTGATATTGATAATTTTCTTCACGGACTGACAACTTGGGCATACACTGTAGATTAGAAAACCCCGATAGTTGTTCCTACCTATGTCAAGTTTCTCTTGGAGTAAAGTCAGAAATTTGGACTTCTATAGCTAAACAAATCAGAAATAGAACAGTTACTCACTGACGACAGTGAAAGAGGATAGCTCTATGTCACAAATTCAAGTGGTGTTAGGACAATATTAACAAGTAGATCTTAATTTATTACTTGAATGACACACTGGACATGTACTGACGAATGAAATGGTAATCAATTATCCTTGGTTTTCAACAATTCCGTAGACTAATATCAACCAATGTGGAAAAGTGAGTAACAATTTATCAGAATAACTAAACTAAACTTTCTACTTTTCTATCAAAACAATTTTCTCAGTGAATGTTAAGATTTTATTTTTGTTTTCCTGGTGGCGTACATATAAAATCACATATTTATGCCTCAGTTAATCACATAAGCAAGTGGTAGTTAACCTCAGATAAATCATCAACAACTCACCGTGATCATCGAATTTCAATGGAGCTTGGAGTACAAAACATCTGTTTAGTTCCATATATGACAGTATTAAACCAATTAATAAATAATTCGCTGTCGATAGATTAACCATTCTTTTTTCTATGATAATAATAATAATAATAATCAAAAAAACTCTATTTCGTATGAAAGATACATATTATTTATTTATAGAAAGATACACATGTTTGAAGTTGTTACGAAAGTATAAATAGAATATTATTGCTTGACTACCAACCATTTTTGACTAAAGTCCTGGAACTGCCAGTAAAAATATATGGTCTGTGAAGTTGGCGGTGAGTTAGTCATTATCAAAGGTGGGGATGATGTTTGAGTATGCTTAATGCATATTGTCTAAAGTCAAAATCGTAAAACCATAGCACCCAAGTCATTGGTTTAAATGTATCAAGTTCATTATGAGATCTGAATTTCGTAGATCAGATCTTATATGGGGTTGTCGGTGTTCCCTAACTTAGGATGAAAAATTAATCCAGACAATTCTATAGTATATATCAGTCTCTGATATAAAAACTATCTTCAACATATCATAAGAATGTGAAATTATTGATATAAACAGCTGATAATGACTTACTTCAATAACAATAAATTAAACATTAAATTGTAAAGCAATTTATACAATCCCATTTTATACTATCTATAACTATCTATTAATTCATAATTGATCAATAAAATGCAAACATTGAACATATTGTCATTGTCATTCATTCTCTTTATTCCTAGAGCGGAGCATAATTCAATGAATAGAATGACATTTTAATAGTTAATTTATGACATGAATGTTTGCAAAAAGTCAAGTATAGTATTAATTAATTAACCAACATTCATTTTCTGCTAGACTTGACTCCTTTTATTACGTAATAAAATGGAAAAATGGACATAAATTTAGATTTTGTCATGTTACTTTTAAAAGACAAATTATCTGTCAATTGTCTTTAGTCATAGTGTGAAATTTTCGATTCCCAGGACAGAGTGTGTTGGAGAATGCTGGTCGGCGGCCCATGCTCCATTGGGAGTAACAGGCGTAAGTAAGTAAGTAAGTACGTAAGTAAATAGAATGTTCGATCAGCAAGTTTATTGACATTGACTATGTTGGGTCATTAAAATAATTAATGATAATAATACTCGTTTTATTTAACGCTTTATATTTTATTATAGTGTGATGTGTGTTACTGATATCGATTGAAATAAGTAGTATGTATCATCAATTGAAATTAAAACACTTAGAGATAGAAAGTTAAGTAGATCGAATAGAAGAGAATGGGAACAGACAGTGATTAGTGTGGAAAAAAAGAATCAGTCAGGTTTGATACAATTGATTGACGTTTTGCAAATGGAAAACTTACTGTGATTATCTAGAATTGAAATTCAACTGCTAATGCTTACTATCAGTTCTATTCCCATGACATCACTTTTTACATTTTATGCATAAATTCTATGGTAATCGGTTCCCGTTTCTCGATGAAATATATATATATCTTATTATTGAAAGCCTTAAGTGCCGACACCTTGGTTCATATATATATATATATATATATATATATATATATATTATATATATACATGAACCAAGGTGTCAGCACTTCTTAAGGCTTTCAATAATAAGATTCGTAATGAGTTGTAAACATTATAAGAAAATGTGTGGGGACACGTAATTAGAAAAACGAATTACCTAATTAAAACAAATCTAAAACATGAATATTGATGATGATAAGTGCATGTACTCGAGAACGGATGGCCTAGAAGTTTGAGCAAGCCTCTAGTACTCAAATGAGGCGAAAGATGTGAACCTAGTTTTCATGCCAGTTGGTACTTATCAACAAAGACTATCCACAATTGATTATCTTACAGTTTGGTGCTGATATCTGATTAATACTAAGGCCTAGATAAACACCATTTTCGTTATTAATCAGCGACCAGTCAATGTGAACAATAACAATGCTAATGGATATTTCGGGACTCACTAAATCTTGCGGGCTGCCCGATATTTGTACTCATGTTTATGAAGTGCATGAATCTTGGCTTGTGTAGTGGTGTATTTGGGCAACGAATAGGCACTATGCTCGTTGTTGAGTCGGCTTTCCGAGAGTTGCAACGGAGCCTTCAGAGGCCCTAAATGAGCCGAGGAGTCCTAGTCAATCAGAGCATGATGGAGCTTTCTAGAATATCAGCGTGGCATGCTACTATTGGTTAATGGCATAATATGTCTTTTAACGGATTGGCCAAAATATGATGTTGATTTAACAAATGTTAGCATCTATAAATACCCTTGTTTTTCTGTACAAAAATGAACCTTTGGAGTAAAGTGTTTTTCGCTTATTTTGCGCCTTTTCTCTCGAGTTCAGGTCGCTGCGTAGTTCTAGCTTGCGGGTTACCAGAATAAGTTAGGAACAGAATAAAGCGTTCAAATTAACAATACTTATCACTCGCAAAAAGAAAATAAGCTAAAATGTTTGCCTTATGTCTAATAAAATCAGAGGCCCAAACCATCAGGTCGAAAACGTAATAAGATGTGGAAGCAAATACTACGGAATGATAACCATCAATCCTCCCTGATAGTCCTTATGCTTATGTGTATGTCGTAAAGTTCATGGACGAAAGTTTATATACCACTTGTATGCATGTATTGAATAAGAGGTAGTCAGTTTTAGTAAATATGTTCAAAGGGAGCTGTGACCACCTACACTCCCAGGTGAGTGAAGATACCTATATGTGTGCTATAGGATGCATAAGTGGAAACGCGTGTGTTATTGGTGTGTATGTAATGTATATTCACTCTTAGGGTGAGCATATCTCTATATTCTAAGGGGTGCATATGTGTAAACGTATGTGTTACCAGTATGCATTTTGTAACATATACTTGCTTCATGGTGCAACCCTCGCTCACCAAGACCCAGAGGTATCGATTTCCTTACGAAATCACATCCATGCTGTGATTTCACAAGCCTTGATCACAGAAAACAATTTGAGAAAGGTCACTTAGGCTTCACCAAATAAGGCTCAACCAGCTTTAAATGGCTGGAACACCACCACTGCTTGGATACACTAGTGGTATTCGGCACAATTGTGATGTTTAAATTTAGGCTGGTGATTAGTGGTGATCATCAGAAAGTCCTTAGTACGTGCTAGTCGATACCTCTATGATAAGAACATGTGCTCTCAGTGACATTCAAATCCACACCATCTATTATCAGTCAGAGACGTTATCATTGAGATATTCTAACCACAACTTCTCGTGAAATCTGCGTAAAAAAGTTGTAATTGAAATACCTCGTTCATTTTCCTACATTCGTCCTATAAACAACATACACTGAAGTAGCCGCTAACTGTTAAATTGTAAAGTACTTCAGACGAAATATTTAGACGTAATATTAAATCAAGTTTATCCTTCTCATAGAACCCGTCATAATACACTGAAATATACTGTTATGTTACTTTTCAATACCAGGACGATTTATACTAAGTTGGCATCACATATTGTGTTTTACTTGCTAGTGTCTAATATAAAAAATATGTATTTGATAATTGATTCATCTAGTTGTTAGGCCTTGCATATCGTACTTGCTTCCAAGTCGATTTCTTATTCCTCATAATATTCAGCTCTTAAATCCCAAAGTTACTAGAAATGTGAAGTAGGTTTCATCACCAAGTTAAGTTCATTTATTAACAACAATTTGTATTTCTAAGTTAACAAATGAACTTCAGACTCTAGAATCTTCTAAGAAAGCAACTTACATTGGTTATAATTTTGGCAATTGACTCATCGGATTATGGAACATGATAACCGTTTGATACTTGAGTAGTTTCCAGTGGATTAAAGTTCTTTAGGTTTCTATGGGATTCTCTAAAAAATTAAGTCAGTTCGAACACTGATAAAGCCAGACAAGCTGTATACACTCTGGTTTATTTTTATTTTTATTTCTAACAGTCTGCTCCAAAAACTCTTTGAGATGATTGTCAGACAAAAGTACATTTTACCTAATCTGATGGTATGCTTTCTCTTCAGTGAAATGACAACTATTAATCAAGTATCAGATTACATTAGTTTAATCAAGGAGATGGAACCTACTGACCACAAACTAGAGTTTTTCAATTGTTTGACTGAAATGGATGATAGTAGTAACATGAAACTCGATATTTTTCGGAAATCAACACACTTTGAGAGATTTTTAAATGACAGGTTGGCAGATGGTTGTTCTACGAGAGTCTCAGCTGTAAAAAACTTATTTAACAGTTGTAATTTCACTACAGAAAAAACATCAGATTAAGTTATATTCAATTATGTATAATCATAGGAATAACAATCATCTAAAAGAGTTTCAGGACGAAAAACGAATTAGAGTATACTGAGAGAAAAAAGGACACAAATGACATCTTATACCGCGTTGCAACATCGGAGGCAACCAAGAGGATTCTAAGTAATCGTAGTATATCAGCTTATTTCTGAACCAGGGATTCTGTAAGGCGAGCTTTATTTAAATTTATGGATATGTTAACAAGGGAACAACAACAGGATGTTGTCTGTGAATTTAAATGTCGTAAATTCATTGCAGTTTGTGTGGATGAGGCATCTAGACAACTGAATATGGGGTTGAAGCAACACCAACAATGTCTGAAGCGTGCTCCAAAACCCTTGATTGATTTAGGGAATTTCAGGAGTAGATTGACTGTAGCATCGGATTCGCTAGAAGGAGGTCAAATGGTCAACTTTAAAAGGGCTTGATTGGCACGACGACTGATATCTGCAGCTCAGTATATGTATTTTAATCAGAACAATTAGTCTCTACTCTGTTTATATCACACTTGGATTTATTCCGTAAAATATTTATGTTAATATTTAGACATCACAACTCTGTACTTGATGTTTCTCATTTTACATACACTTCAATGTTTTTAATAAGCTTCTCAATTGTACCACCATTTGCAATAAACTGATTGATTAATCTCTTTGGTAGCAAACAAGGATGATGCTTATTCCTTTCTTCTTTAATGGTATACTACTTATTAATTATAAGTAACTTGAATTAATCTAATCACTGGTATGGCTTGAATACGTTTATGACAGCTATTGGCAAGTCACTCGATACCTGGACAAATCATGGTTCATCATCGAAAAATACCTAGTCCTTAATTTTTTTTGTACAACATCAATATAATTTACGCAAATCCAATTCTTCCTATCTCCCCACTTTTACACGAAACTCGACAGCTGAATTAAAATCCTAGTGTTGACTGTTAAATTTGCAGCATATTCTCTACTATATAAGCATTTTAATCAATATAGTGTTTCATCATGAAAAATGCATGGATTTAGTTTATCATCAGAAACCAGAACTAATCTAGTTTGCATCTTTCCCCTAATGTAAACCATTAGTTCCATACATAAATAAAGATATGACATTTGGATTTTAGAACGTAGATAATACATATAATTGAGATGGAATCTAAAGGTAGACTTTTCCAATTCTCATTTTTTTCTACTACTACTACTCACATTTTACATAATTCCACTTAGTTTTTGCAATCATCGTTGCCTGTTCATACCTTAGGATAGATTACTTTTTAGCTATTCATATATTCCAGAGCAAGTTCCATTAAAAGTACCTTTTCATAAATCAATCATGTATGTTAACATTTCGTCATTTCATGAAACTCTTACAAATTGTTACGATGTTAAATACTGGTAAACTTAGGTAGAAACACTGCAGTAATTCGTATCCTTATATATATGGTTACACATAAATAAAAGGCGTTTTAGCGTGTAATTTTTCTAAGTATTCACAAGTTAATAGGACACCTGTTGCTATATGTTGCATGCCATTTTGCTGAGAAATTCTTTATTGCAATCAGATATGTGGTAAACAATAGATGGATTTTTGTGAATCCTATAATTATTATTATCATCATTATTATTATTGGTAGTGATATTGTTGCGAACAAAAACACAAATAGGGACAATCGAATGTAGTTGAACATGAAATCGCAGAACATCTTAGTGAAATCTGAGAACCATACAGTAAATACTAAATTTGCAAAATGTCGATCAATTGTCTCAAACGTGACTGTTCCTTTTTCAAATGTCAATCAATCGTCTAAGAATTCGTTGTTCCTTCATTTCCACTGCAATCATTCTCTGTTCTCGTTCACTTTTCATAGATCTTCTTATCCTTCTTCTGCCAAATATTTCACTTTGGATTGATGATATATACTACTTATATCTATCGACATCAGTGGCACAAACCACAATATAATACCCAACATTTGCCATATTTATAATAATAATTTATCATTCCATTTTTTAATCAAAATGTTGTATCTTCATTTAGTCAGAACAAATTTAGTGATAATCAAGCAACAATTGATAAAGCCCTATACTCCTCTTATTTTGAAATACTTATGGCATCAAATAACATTGTTATTATGGTAGTTATTTTGACTAGACTTGAACAAATGTATGATTATGTACTGTTCTTTACAACTTTTGATTAGAAGGTTTTACCTGGTAATCAATTTACAGTTCTTGATAAAATTATTTAATTAATTGTCAACTGATACCTATAAATATTTAAAGCATTATTGTCATCCATTTGTAGTCGAGTTGAATGTGAGATAATTGTCTATATGATCTTTATCTTGTAAGCACTACTTGAAAGTGACATTGTGTTGGGATATTCAGGAAAGCAGCCCAAAAATTATTCTATTAATTCTAATGCTATTCTTGGACTTGGAGATGGTATTATTCTCTTATTGGTCAGTGCTTATTTCACGTGTCATTTTCCTACTGGTCAATATTGTACAATGTTATTTTCTATTTTATGGTACGATGTGGTCTGCTTGATTAGTATATAAACAGAGTGTATTTGAAATATGATTCATATATCCGAGGCTGAGACTTGCATTCTGGACTTAACTGGCTGGGCTAGACAGGGGAGCGGAACCAATCAGAACCCTAGGTTGTTCTACGTGTTTGCGCGTCTTTGGTCCGATCAATAATTCGCTGTCCTCTAATCAGCAGCATTTTCACAGTCATAACACATTGATACAATATATAAATAATCATGAAATCTGATAAAATATTTTTTGCCTTAGTTGAAACCATAAATTGATATTTATCTCTGTCATAAGATACACGCATCTATTTATTGGATACATCTTACCCAGTTTGTTACAAAAGCTTTCATCCCTTGAGTCATTTATAGAGGCTGTATAGAGACTGTATATGTAAAAGGTGAGATGACCACTTCATGAGATGGCATGAAGTAAATGTCCCTCATGGTTATATGAATGAAATTCTAGGAATCGTCTGTACATTTTACCATAAAATTCTTTGAGGATTGTTTAAAATAATATAAAGGACTAACAATCTTACTTTAATAGTGTATTGTATTTTTCTTATCAAAGTAATATACTACTTTTCATTGAATGAAATCTATTCAACTTGTGTTATTTTACTTCGTTTGCATCACTTAAGAACTTTCTATCTCTTTTTATCTATGATTTATCCGTTTTATTTTCCTATAAACCATCATCTCATTTAATATGGCATATTTTTTAGTGTTGTTCTGTTGTATCAAGTAAGGTTTTATTATTGTTTTGGTAATTCAGCTTACGTAATTCAGGCTCAAATGATGTCAGTAAGTGATACTAAGTCATATGTATTCGAATTTCAGTGGATAATATCGTCATCAGCAAAAAATGTCAATATATTATGCCTATATGTAGCAACAACTGGCAAGAAACTCAAGTACGAGGATTTATGTCGATTGGTCACAATCATCTGACATCACCAAGTTTCCAAGCTCATCTAACCTTGAGATTGCGTTGTCTTTTGGTTGATAGAATTTAAAGAGTAGACAGTGTCGCTCTGGTTGGTACTGCTAGTATAGCTAGTATATAAAAATATGACAGTTAAATAGATTACGTTATCCTAGAATCACAAGAATGACTAATGCAGCACTCTAGTATACATATGAATATTTTCCATGTGTTGCCACTGTTATGATTCGATCAGTATTGTTTTATTATTACTACCGATATCACAGCTTCTATTCTCATCACATTTAATGCATCGATCTTATATATAAAATTGTATTCAAAGTAACCAATTAAACTTTTCCTGCTAATAATCAATCACTGACGTTATACAACACAATGCTTAAGAATCTCATACTAGAACGAAATAGTTTCAAGCTTCTCAATGGTGATCTTACATAGATCGGTTCATGATCTCAATGAAACTGGAGGATCTTCATCAATTTATAATGCTAATTACTAATCAATAATATAAAGGAAGATGAGAGTGAAATGAAAATCAATGAAAATTAAACACATACAATCAATAATCAGTTTTATTGAAATGTTTTTCGCAAAGTAAAATTTTCACATTTTAGTCAAATGTACTACATTTTAACGGTTGAATTAGACTTTTTTGCCACGTTTTTGCTATACCATGATGTACATATTCTAAAAATAGAATTTTAATGAAAACAAAAACAAATTTAAATAAGGAATCTCTTCAAAAAAAGAAGATAGGTGTTATATCCCGATAAGAATAATGAATAGCAACTGTTGGAATCTATATCTGAACTAATACTATACGTATATTTTTATCGTATAATTAGTAAGCAGCTAAGCTATGTATATTAATGTTCCTACTATCATAAGCTTTATTTTGACCTATGAACCGTTATTATACGATTTACCATTCATGAGTTATGCCTAATCCATCAAGTACTATCTCCCACATTCACAGCCACATTTGGCTAAATCTTGTACAAACGTTGTTTCCTATTTTATAATACGATGTTGTCTGTTTGGTTGGCATATAAACACCTAGTATGTTTGAAATGCATGATTCATATCGCAGAGACTGAGATTAGTGTTGTGGACTTAACAGACAGCGTTTTATGTGTCATTAGTCCAGTCGATAATTCACTATTCTCTAGTTGGTGGTAACAGAATCATGAAAATTAACAGCATACTTATCTTTTAAAATCCTGAAGATAATTTGTTTTGTCCTATTTAATTGACATAAAAACTGGGACATAATACTTTAAACTTCCTCTTTACAACTCACTGATACTTTCATTATTTTTCAATAGAAACTGGTAATGTTAATTAAAATACCAAAACCTTTACTTAATAATTAATCCTACAGTCGACCAAAAAAGTTTCTGAAAAATTTTTTGTGATTATTGCTGTTTATTAGTCAGATAGATCTTCAGCTTTGAAGAAACTTATAATCTTTTTAGGAGATCTGAACGCTTATCGCTTGGAACAGAACTCGTACTACTCAAGAATAGGATATTATTGTATGATTATGGCATTTATACTGTAACATGCAATTCAGACGTATCGATGGAATGATTCCTGGAGTAAATCTTGATATGCGATTCGAATCGATTTTCCACTTTATCGAAGATCAACTAATAATAATTTAGTAGTTGAGTTCATGAGTCAATTGAAGTTAGACCACCATGGAAAACCTGCAAGCTCTAGACGACCATTTCATCCTGTTGTGAGATTCATCAGTAGTGCGCATCCGCAACCCCAACCCCCGGGATTCGAACTCAGGATTTATCAGTCTCGCACGCGAATTTTTAACCTCTAGGCCAGTGAGCTGGCTGGCATCCAACAGTGTTAATGTCTAACTTCATCCAATTCACGAAATTGAGCCACCGTCCACTATTGTCTTCAGTGAGTTACTGTCTCACAACAGACCAGTGGATGTGCACATGTGAGGAGTCCCACAGAAAGATGAAACGGACATCTAGTGCTTCCAGGTTTTCCATGGTGGTCTAGCTTCAGTCGACTCATGATCTCAACTATTAAACAACTAATAATAACCAACCAACCACACATATGATTCTAACCAATTAATTTCATTCATAAAATATATCAACTTTTTATGAATATTTTTAAAAACGTGTTCTTCAAATGAGAACTGATAATTTTAATAAAAGTCAGCTATTAACGATACATTTATTATTGTCGAAAGAAATTAGCTGGATTAATAGTGTCGATTTTACAAAGAAAAGAGGAGTTAGGAGGCAAAATTTCTTTCTAGTTGTTCTAATAAACGCTACAAACCCAAGAATGCTCAACGAACAAGTATACGGAAATACAAGTCACAGATCAAATATTTTATCATGATAAAGAAAGCCGTTATATCAGAAGCTTCATAAAAATATTACTAATGAATTGACCGGTCATTGCAAAATGAACCCCGAAAACCACAAAATAAACAGTCCAACCATGTATGGGACATATCTCGGAAATCCCTAAAACAGTTTTGATGGGATGGAGAATAGGTATTTCCTTAAATAACGTGGTCCCCTCCTCTTCACCTAAACATAAATGGATGTAAACTGGCAGTGAAACGACATGATGTATCATCATTAATATTAGTGTATGCCTACAACCATGAACATCAATTCATTTCGGTTAATGTCAAAATTCTGTATCGACGAAATTTAAACAATTGCGAAAACGATTAGGAACATGACATGGATGTCAGTCGGTAGTTGGTAGACATACTGGTATAGATCTAGACTGTCAATGCTTATGGAGAATATCAGTCAGTTAAGTGTTACGAGGTCAACCGAACAAGACAGTAAACAGGAGTTCAAGGGAAGATGGAGATAACAAAATCTATTTAAATATTTAAATTGCTTATCTCTGTGTGAAATAATGTCGTCCAGCAAGACTGACCTTGTCACTTGCCTATGTGCTTTGTGAGCTTTAATTTCTTTGGCATTCGGTGCAGCCAAATCCACTGTTGTTACACAATCACCATCTTTCACTGTCAACTGATCGTCCTTATCCAATACAAGCTTAAATTGTTCCAACCGAAGGAACATTTGATCTGAAATTTTTTAATGAATTAACGCAAAGTTAAAATCTTCATAAAACAGATTATCTGAAATATATCTAACAGTAGATAGATGATCTCCAGCTTTAGCGTGGACAGGATATACTACATGGGACATTTTACTAAAACATACGATAAAGTTCTAAGTAGTATATCTGTTGAAAAGTTAAATGATTTGAAATATGTGAACAGATAATAGGATCTATAAGGTGGTCAATACCAAATGGTTCATTTCATTTATCAAATGATTGTTCATTAAAGCACAAACATTCGCTACTTCTGGAATATTTGAAGCTTTTGACACTGAAGTACTTATCAATCTAAATTGAGTTTTAAAACCGTTTAAACATAGTTTCCTTCCATTTAAATATTAAAACATGATGGTAAGCAGAAATGTATAGTACTATGATCAGCCCTTAAAATAATCCGTTGAACAAGCTGTTAGAGAGTTTACTTATGATAAAAAGAAATAATCAACATATCTCATTGGCACAGTTAAACAATATTTGTCATGAAGCCTGAATATTGTTAGAAGTAGTTAGTAATCTCTTTTATCCGATAATTTAATAACGATATGATAGGCAGGAATTTAAGACAAGTCTCTTTAGGGTTTAATTACAAGTAGAATAAAGTAAAGCATGTAGATTTTACATACTGATAGACAGATAAAGTATAGAAAAAGGCATGTGTATTCCATCAACTCAACTGAGTACTTGATAATTATTCACTTTGTTAGTTACAGACCAAGGAATTCATAATAAGTTTGGAACTCACTGCAGATATAACTATCATACGGGAGAATGAAACAAAATGATATTCCACAAGTTTGACTTTAATCATCAAAATAATGCACTGACTATCGAATGTTGCGTTCTCAAGTGAACAGATGCATGCATATATGTCAACATGAATTTGAATAATTTTTATGCTTGAATTAAGAGTTTGAAGTAGTTCATCAAAACTTAACAGGTTACAAACTTAAGTGTACACTAATCAATCGTAGGCCTTATTGTGCCCAATTTAACAACACACATACATTGCATCTTCATCTCCATTGTTGGAAATATCTGTAGAAGTCCTTAAAAACCAAGCGTTTTAATTATCTCATCGTTTTACATTTCTTTGTCACTACATTGTTCCTCTGACGCCTCTGTTCAGATTTTGGGTAATCAGATGAAATTACTGGGGATATTGTTCATTGAAAAGAGATAATCTATAGTGATGACCGAATGACAGGTTAGAAACTCACATTCGGTCATGGTTGAATTTACAAGTGATAAAAATTCATGGAAATAGCTAAGTCTTTGATTATCAGAAGAATAAAGACTTAGACAAACCACGAGTGTGAAAAGATGATATAGTATGGCATATATTTCATTGTATGAATCTTCAAATTATTTGCATAATTCAGTTTCGTTTAGATATAAACTTACTATTTTCATTAAATTCAATTGGAATATAAAGATTACTGAATTCGGTAACTACCACTGGCATAATTGATAATGATGCAATAGATAAAAATAGCAATAGACTAGTGGAGATTAAATTCATTTCTGTTCAGCGTTTATTATGACTATTTATTCAGAAAAGAAAAAGACAAAAAAATTGTGTTATATAAAAAACTAACGCAAAAATTTCAAACAATAATATCAGAAAGGACATTTTGCGGATCTTATAGTAATTTAGTAGTTGAGATCATCAGTCAATTAAAGCTAAACCACCATGGAAAACCTGAAAGAACTGGATGGCCGTTTCGTCCTATTGTGGGACTCCTCATTAATAATTAACTTGAAACAGATCTTTAGCTCAAAGGAAATTTCTGTAGTAAATCATGAATATAAAAATTGGTAAACAATAGGCAATACACTATTTGTAGACACTTGAACAGGTAAGAATATGATGTTGTTGTTAACTCGTTAACATATCGAGATAATGAGAGGGAGGGGATATATGCAGATGTATTCATAAAATTAATTTTGGTAACCATCTAAGAAGAACTTATTCCATACTGATAGATAAGTTCCCGTGACAAAAATACTCAATATCAATAGAAACCAAGTGTAAACCTTGGAGAATATCTATAACATAAAAAAATCTTTACATACATCCATATATGCTACTAGCTAAGTAGTATTTTTAAAAAAATTCAAGGTTGGCTCTATGGTGTAGTTTATTCTGAAATATTTTAAACATCGATCTTATGTAATGAATAAATTCAGTTTGGATAATATTTTGTTAAGTTTGTTGTGTGTGTATGCATGTTATATAAATATAGATTAGTATCCAATAAGCAGGATTAATATGAAATTGGAAATATTGATTTATTATCCAGAATGGTTTTTACATTGTTTTTGTGTACTTCTTTTTTTGTGACGGCTTACCCTTAGTTTGTCTAATTGACTTTTTTTAGTTTTCATGTCATAACGAGTATATGTGTGTGATAAGATTGTTCGAAATGTATTGCGCAAATATATCATCACATAATTCTGATAACCTTCGTCTTTTGATTGCATTAACGAAATTCGAAATTGATTAGCTCAAAGTGATAGTGTAGTAAGTAAACAAAAGTGTAAACTGACATTACTGCAGTATTAAGTCATTCTGTATAACTGTCGATAAAGAAAATTTCTATTTTTTAGTTGAATTCATAAGTCTGTTGAAGCTAGACAACCATGGGAAACGTGGAAGCACTAGACGACCATTTCGACTTACTGTGGGACTACTCAGCAGTGCGCATCCACGATCCCGTCTCGCGAGATTCCAACCCAAGACTTATCAGTCAAGCGCGCGAACGCTCAACTTTAAACCGCTGACCTAGCATCCTATGTAGCTGATATCTAACTTCAACCAATCCATGAAGTCGCGCCTGTGAACACTAACACAGGGATGTTATAATTCAGTTTTAAAGGGGACATTAACTGTTGTTTATTTTAAAAGATCATAAATATTGTTCATAAGGCTACTCAACAGTTAAGCTAAGAAAATGCTTTACATCACTAATGTACTTTCACTAAACAACCATTGCCAACCAACGAATACTGAACAGCAATAAGAAGTCAGTATATGAAGATAGTTGTAAGATATTTTCCTGCATAACATTAAAATCTGTTTTCTTTATTCCAATGAACTTACCATTACTACTATAAGAAGAAATAATCTTTTTTAAAATAAAATTTACATTATTCCAATTGAACTCACATGATCAAAAAGAAAATCTCCTAAAAGTTAAATAAATATCAGTTCAAATTAGAGACTATTTATACTGAATATATTCAACATTTTAAATTGAGGTATGACAATTGATCCATAAAAAAATCAATAAGAGAAACAAATCAATAATTGACAACATTTGTTACATAATTATGAAGAATTATATGACATTATATATAGAACATTGAATATTGATAAAATGTAACATTTTTTTCCATAGAGACTAAATAAATAGGAATAAATTGACACTTATGAAATGTGAATTTATTAAAGATTTTTATATTATTACATTGAATAAATGTAGGCAAACTGGTCAAACTTTAAATTTAAAGTCTTTTGTTCAAGCATTATACACTTAAATTAGTTTATTTAATTATATTACAGTAACCAAGTGCAGATTTGTACCGTTCGCTTTGAATCATAATTTATGTGTTTTTAAATATTAGTGATACTATACAGTGAACCTGATTAGAGTAAGTATTGCATTGTTTGAGTATAGATCTTATCAGCTATGAGTTGGATATTTTTACTACTAAGCATATTTTTTATATACTTGGTGTATGATTGACAATGGATTCCAGGGCATGGGTCTTTTTCAGTTTGGGACCCGTCCGTTTACTATCTACCTACAGTATTCATATTCATATTGAGACTCAAACTTAGCACTTCTCATTTCAAACGCATTATCTATTGAGCTACTGAGCCCATGTAACGTATACATAGTAGATGTACTAAAACGTTTGACTTAACATTTTATCAACCTCATCTGCTCAAGTTGCACATATGGTAATAGAGATCTTGAATATTCATAGTGTAAAATTTCACATTCTTAGTAAACGAATTTTTACATTTAAAATAATCCATAACCATTTCGTAGAATGTGTATACACACGAAACCCTATAAAGACCGTTGAATGCTACCGGTATAGTTATGAACAATCGTGAATAGTGTAAATGATGTTTTTTCCAGTTGGCCGATTCATTTTGAAGTTTACAGTTTGTATATATTCGATAGATATTTGGATACTAAATAATTATTTCAGTCAGATGATTTCAATAACTCTATGAATCGGTTGGAAGATATTTTCATGTTTGTTAAGATTGAGATAAGTTAGATGTGTTCATGACCGTCCCATTTAAGGTACTGAATAATTTTAAGAAACGGAAATGAATTTATTATCATTCGACGATTGTAATTGCTGTAATCAAATGCTCTAATTATAGCAGTTTTTAAGGTTCTTTATGAGTTATATTATTAAAGTCTTCATCAGTCGAGTCATATGATCATTTATTTTAGTATCCAGTTTACTACCGTTTGTAAATGTTTGCATTTTACTCACTGTTTGATTGATTACTAATAGCGAACAAGGTCATTGAACGTATCCCAAAATATTTCTCTTGTGTATAATGGTGGAATCTATGATATATATTTCATTCTGGATGTACTCACTGAGATTTGAACTCAATACCCATTAATTCAAGTCCCCATATGATAACTAATAATCTGCTGAGTTCATTTAAGAACTAATTGATCCAAAGAGGATGATAGTTACTATTATTTATGTGGGTTCATATCCTGGAATACTAATTGTTGGTGTCTGAAGTGTTGGCATAGCGTTTGAGACTCACTGTGTACTCGAAAGGATGAACATCGAACTGACAAGTTCCAAAGAGGACGTCATCTTAGATCTGCATCTTAGCGTTAACTGTAACCTAAAATGTAATGTTCAATTTCTTCATTTATTATGGTTGGTTGAAGCATTTTAGGCTTATTATAAATACTGTCATTAAAATTCAAATCTTAGTTTATAAAAACTACAGTGAATGGGCTTATCTGTTGTGGATTAACCATCAATCTTTGAAGTTGTAACGCAGATAGGAAACAAATAAAAATTTTGGTGTTTACTGATATTTCTGAAGGCACACATTTACTGACTCTTAAAATGATGATTTTATGCTATGATCAAGTTTCTTTTATAGAACAATTTCTTGTTGGTTCTTCATGTTGCATGGAATAGCTAGTATTTCTGTATATATCTGTTAAAAGAATAAAAGATTAAGTCATTGAAATACCACCTATTTCTAATTAATTTGATTTACATTGGAGGATAGTTTCGCATTCAGTAATTTGGATGACTCTCACGGCCTCCTACATTATACGACCATTCCATGTTCCTAAATTAGTGGTTGCTCTGGTCGTCAAGAGGGTCGTCAGCCACGTGACTCCCGATGGAACTCGGCTCTCACCATGAGGCGTCACAACTCGTCTAAATGAAGATCTTGCAACCCCCAGGGGAGAGTTTAAATGGTTTGAATTATCTTTTCTGGTTATCGTTGTTTTAGCGAGTTAGTTTTCTACGGGATGAAGTCGTAAACCCCATGCTTGACCATCGTACTTTATTCGGGCCCAAGTCCGATCGTGCATGATATTAATCATATTTTTACATCTGTCCAAGTGGAAATTTGGATAAACTAAATTCATCCTTGAAAACAATTTGAAGACAAATTTCGTATGTTTTAACAGAAATGTTAGCATTTTATTTACCATTATTTCACTGTATAAGTGGGAATATCATGGGGAAATGAGAAAGAGAAAAGTCATACAGCAAAGGAATAGATGGACAAGTATAGTGTTTAAAAGGAGGTATAACTCAGTCGAAAATATGGTCAATAAAGATTATTTTCCCGTTTAAAGAACTATCATAAATTATATCAGTCTTGGACATAACTATAAGAAGTCTCTACTGGATCCTGTTCTGAACCAGTTCTAATGATAACTCAACCCACTGGGTTGCATGAAATCTAGCTACCCAGCCGGAAGATCTATGTGGATCGAGAGGTCCTAGTGACATACAACGTTCTGTGATAAAATGCTACTATATCATAAACTTACATCTCTATATCTTCCCCACTCAGTCCCACAGTTGATAATTAGTGGTTGTTAAAAAAGAGACTAGGACGAAATTCATAAAATGTATTTAATGGTGACATGCACCAAATTGTCTTCTATGAGTCAAAACAAACATTAGCAAACCTAGTCATCACCGAAATGGTGCTTGTATCAGATGTGAGCAATTTTTGAGGATAACAAACTCGAAAACTATGAGTCAATAATCACCTTCACATTTGAATATCCAGGTCTTACGAGCGTAGACCAGAATTGTTTTAAATGACTAGCCGTTTACTAGAAATTTTAGAGCCAGATTAACATCACATTGGCTCTGAAGATGGGCTAAATCGGTGTCGACTGCTCTGGCTTCCACTATATTGACATTACTGAACAAACTACATAGGTATACATGTAAACTTCCAATTATATACTGATATCAACAAATTCCCTTGGACAGTCTCGTTCATAAGCAAAAACGAAAAGAAATAAACATCTTATCATTCTCTTTTCACACACACACACGTACACTGCATATACACAAATAATTATAAAGGATTATTAATATATTTGAAATGATACTTGAAATCCACTTCAAAGTTAGATGAAATATGATGATCTTGTAGCTATGAGATCATTAAGTGTATACGTATAAATGTGAGAGGAGATGTTACATAAGTGAAATAACTCATATATTTACCTGCTTTTTTAAAGATATTCTCTTCTCTGTAAATGTATTTATTTCTAATGTTGAAAAGTAATTTATGTAGTTATTGTTTGAAAAATACTTCTTGTTTATTTTTATGTAAAATAAAGTAAAAAGTTTATTCCAAATGAGGAATGTAACAATCAAGCAATTTATTATTCTCCTCTTCTTCATGTTAGATTACATATACTACTCACTAATTTCCAAATGTTATAGGTAAGTAATAAAATTAGGAAAGATGATTATTTATCGTGCTTGTTTAGTAAATTTTCAGTATATCAGTGTTTATTGTCAATTTTGAATATTTATAATGCAACCAATTGGGCCAATACATTTAGTAACGTATATACTTCCATCAGCTATCACACATCATCCCCTCCAAATATCGATCACAATAAATGCAGAGTATTTTAAGATAAACAAATTTGCTTACTTACAAGTAGTTCAATAAATAACACACAAAAAATGGAACCATTTCAAAAATGAATTACCATTGACCAAAGATTATGGTCAGTATTAGTTTGCAAAGATAATCAATAACAACAAACTATATTTCAGTCTAAAGGAATAAAATAATGGAGATCAAAATAAATTACTAGTGATTAAGGAAACAAAAGGAGTTTCTTCTATTTTTTCAATCGTACATTTTATGAAAGTAATTTATGAGAAGTGTTTGTGAACAAAACACATGCATACGTACATGCATACATACATACATACACACACAAACGAACAAACCTACATACATACATTAAAATTGGTAGAATTATGCCGAATTGAAATAAATGATAAAGCGGTACAGTAAATGATTAATTTGTGAAACAAATAACACAACATTAAATAAAACTGCAGAAAATATTCCTCCTCAAAAAAAGTCGTACGTTTTTTGTTTCTCCTTTAAAACTAATATGAACTAAGAACATCACATAAAATGTTAGTTTTCATTCATTCAAACGTGATTATTTGTTTATTTTGTTGAGAACTACTTTTGTTGAAATAAGTAGTTTAAAACGTTATCCAGCTTTTTTCGATCTTATTGTATTTTCATCTGGAAATGTAGAGTTCATTTGATTAAACTGAAGATGTTCATTGAATTGTAATTCTTAGAAGAATTAATCCCTTATTCATTACTATTATCGTAATTATGTGTATACAAGTATGTACACTAGACAAAATAATGAACAGGTTCTACTGAATTTCGAAAGAAAAATAAAATAGAAGAATACACTTTTAGATTTCATTCTACCATTATATTTATGATGAAAATATTTGTCCATTACTTTTTGTTCACATGCATGCATGAATTTCACCTTCACTTCCTCTTTCTTCTCCTCTCCTTCTAAACTTGTGTACATTGAATACAATTATATGGATGTGTACATTTAATTCGTAAACATAAATATACTAGATTGTTATTAATATAGAATGTTTAAAATAATAACATTAAAGAAGATCAGAATAAAGAAAGAAAAAAGAGAAGAAAAAGAGGAGAAAATAAAGTTAAAATCATATTGAATACTGTATATTATTATTATTATTATTATTATTGTAGTTTTAATTCAATATGGTTTTGTGGAATCACTTTTTGGACGTTTCAATTGAACTTTAAGACGCTTCATACCAATTTGAAAACCATTCATTGCATGTATAGCTGTTTGTGCACTTGATGGATTATCAAAGCTAACAAAACCTAATAAAATAATATTAAAAAACAAAGAATTATAATCTATTATTACGAGACAAATAAGTAATGGTATTATGTGAATATTGATTTTTGCATCATTTATAATTTTATGTTTACTGATTAAGCATTACTTCCGGTTTCATTGAACCTGTTTAAGGATAATGATCATTGAACAAATTAAAATGTTGTTCAAACGATTGAAGATATTTTTTTAAAAACATTTCATTGTATAATAGTTGAAGTTTATTTAAACAATAAACATGGAGATTATGAAATTGTCTAATAGTTTATCATATAATATTATGCAATATGGTTCAGGGAAACTCTGGGTATTTACAATTATTGAGCGGTGATTAATGGTCAACGTTACTTGCTTACTTACTTACTTACGTCTATTACTCCCAATGGAGCATACGCTGCCGATCAGCGTTCTCCGACCCACTCTGTCATGAGCCTTCCTTTCTAGTCCTATCCAATTTTTGATCATACTTTCCATGTCTGTCTCTATTTCATGACGTAATGTGTTTTTTGGTTTCCCTCTTCTCCTTTGGCCTTGGGGATTCCAAGTGAGAGCACGCCTTGTGACGCATTTGGGTGCTGTCCTCAATGTGTGTCCTATCCACTTTCAGTGCTTCTTCTTGATTTCTTCCTCCTCTGGTCAACGTGGTGTTTGTTTAATCTTTAGTACAGATCACATTCCATCAGTCCATTTGCAATGTGTTTACTAATCTAAGCATTTCCACATGTTTGGATGTTAAGTGGGTAGAGGCAATCATTTTAAATGTTTCAATCAGATCTAGATGGGACAACTTATTATTAATGTCTGCAACTATGATACTGTTTGATAAGGACTCGAAAAGTCATTCCCTTAATAGTTATGATATGCTTTATAAATGAGGGCTATTTGACACAAAACTTAGATTCAGAGTTTTCTATTGGTTACCTTCAATCATGTAAATTCAAATTTAATATCTATCAAGTGTGTTTGAAAATTATTCAACTTCGTCAAGTTTTGAACAAGTAATTTTTTCATTAATATACTCATAACCAGGTAATTATATTCCTATCAAAATTTCATAAAGTATGCGTTATCGTTCATGTTAGGATAAGTATTATACTTTGTTATCAGAATTAGAGAAGGTTTGTTATTGTAGTGCCCCCGAACGCCCTGGTACGGCCGAGAGTGGGGAGAGTCAACTCGCCCTTTCCAAATGCTTTCACATGGCCACGTGCACACAACCGCTGCCAGGGTAATCCTATTTACTACCTTCTCGTGGCGGGGGTGTTGATTACGAAATTGAGAGGACAAAAAGCGAATGTCCGGCGCTTTAACTTGGTTGGTGGATGTGGAGGATCCACCTACGGGAGTTAGAAAACCTTGATTCCAAACCAATGGTGCACATGGACTCCAGTGTCCCGAGGGAAGAAATAGAGTATGAATCAATTGTTGGTCACCGGCTACCATGGGACTGCATCTCCTGATGTTGCTCCATTTCCTTGTAGATCAGACCTTTAGGTCAAAGGCTCGGTGTATGGCCCCCTAGTAAAACCACCAGTTTCGGAACCCGGTCAATATCCTAGCCCTTGCACAAATCGCACGATTTATGTGGCGCATATCTATATGGTACCTCCTTGTATCAATGTTTATGTAATCAAATAAATAAATAAAAATGTTATTTTCGTATTATAGACCAATAATACATTCAGAATAATAACTGCCTAATACGTAGTAGAATGAACAAGTTCTCATAAGATCAAATAAACAATTGATAAAATAGCTTGTATAGAATAAAAAGTCAAGTAATTGACAACTCTCATTTCACATTTGAAGGGATAATACTTTGGATAATTCCTTTCATTACTACAAATTGATGATAAAGTTGACAATAAAGTAACTCATTTATCAAGTAGAAATCTATAAAATTGTCTTATAACTACACTTTTTATAATGTGAGGGCTAGTGATATTATTCAACTGCTTAAATCAAAATTGGGCAAAATTAATTAGATGAAACCTCGTGTTTACTACTTTTTTCATTAAACTAATAACACCACAGCTTTTAAATTAAATACTATTTAAATTAATGAAAAGAACTCACCAAAACATTTACTTTGATTCGTTGCACGATCAACATATACTTTAGCACTGATTACTGTTCCAAATGGCATAAACATCTGAGCCAATTCTGGATCGCCAAATTCCTGTGGAAGGTGGTATATGAAAAGATTGCATCCCTCTGGCCCTATATACATACATATATATAAAGATAGATGTTGATTTGAACCTAATTCATACATATTTATTAATCATATACACAGATATAAGTTTATCATTCATTAACTTGTATACTGGTGTTGATAAGAAAGAAATACAGAATGGATATTGAAAGAGAATTGATGTGATTTGCTGTTAAGTTCATTGCGTTGATCAAAATTTGTTGATCTAATTTTAATTTAGTCGATAATGTAAGTAACTTAACTTTACAGGATGTTTGGCCTGATCCTGGAGGTGGTGAGAAGCAATTTAGTAGGTTAGCCGTGGACTCAGAATTCGTTGATATAGTTTTAGTTTTGAGTGAACCTTTACTCCCCTACCATGTAGATTACGAATATTAGTTATTCTGTGTGATTGTCAATTTTGGAAAGAAATCGTAACCAATTGAGTTCAGTCACGTCTGAAGTAAGACCAGTAGTATCAACGATACCGAAGGACGGTCAGGTAGTATTGTAGTGAAACGGAGACCCGCTGGCGTAAACCAATTTATTGTTAAATTGAAAAGTACAGAGTAGTTTAGTAAAATATGAAGACTATACATTAAATATAGTATTTGCATATCTTTCTCCAAGTTCCCCTAACATGCTTCACGATTTTTTATTCCTGTTGTTATTGTAATTGCTTTCTGTTTACATTATTGTTCTCTTCATCTTAATTTTCTCAATCTTCTGCTGCCAGACATTCTACTTGTGATTGGTGTCACGTACTACTTATAGCTGTCAGTATAAGTAGCATCTATTACAGTATCAGAAATTTATTGCGATTAACAAACTGAAACATTTTATGCCGAATACGTTGTATTAATATAGAAATGAGCCTAAACGTTATTGATGAACACTCCTGTGAAATCTGAAACTTATCCATTAACACTGTACTCCTATGAGTAAATTTGTAGGCCAGAATTATTCATTTTGTTATGTCCGTTACTACTGTCCAATATACGTGTGTTTTGCTGTACATGTTCACTGACTGACTATATGTATTCTTCGTTTTTTTTTCTGTGTACTAGTTACATTAATTTGCCAATTTACAAACAAATGAAGTAATAAAGGATACATTTTACTTGTTTTAGTAATAGATATGACGCCTAGATTTTGATTTAACAACACTATGTAAGGTACTTAAATAAGATGACTGTAGAAAACCTAAATCCTACATGTAAAGAAATGATATCTAACTTCAATCTATCCATGATCTTGCACAAAACTTCGTCTGTTGTCTGAGGTGAATAACTGTCTAACACCAGACACGGATTAGACTCTTCTGGTCACGGCTTCTCACTAGAACTCTAGGAAATCCATCTTGAAGTTAGTCAGCAATGAGCAAATGATTACTATCAATAAGGGAATTTGTGAAGACTGTAGTATATTTAACAGTCTAATTGACGAGTTGATCTAAGCTAAACCAGTAATGAAAACGCGGAAGCACTGGCCGGTCATTTCGTCCTAGTATGAGACTTCTCATCAGCGCGCATCCATGATCTCACACTCAGAACTTGAATCTAGGACTTTCAATCTCGCTTGTAAACGGTTAACCTCTAGACAACTGATGTCTTTCAGATCTTCAATGATGATCTAGCTTAGATCGACTCAAAAACCTAATTATTAAATATACTACAGTCACCATAAATCCTCTTACTGAAAACAGATAATAATCACTTAAAACCATTTTTATGATAAAATCAAAATCCATAAATACAATGCGTTATTTGTTATTTAGTCAGACAATAGTCTTTTTGATTTCAAATGTATTGAGGTGGATTTCAACTGATATTCATGATCATGGGAACAAGGAATGATGCAGGGATCTTAATAACTTGGGATGATTAGAAACAAAAAGAAAATCTGATCGGGAATGAGTTATGAACTTTATTCCACTAAAAAACTCAATAAAATTGAGAATTCAAGAATAGATTCATTGTGTATACGATTATTACATCATTTAGTAGTCGTAACAATAATAATAATAGTGAATAAACAACTGAGATGGGGAAGACCAATTTATTGTTTAATGCAAAATTACAGAAAATCTTGACGAAGTATGAAAATCATACATTCAATACTCCATTTGCGTATCTTCCATCAATTGTGCCTCACAAATTTCATTGTTCCATCACTCCTGTTGTTATTACAATTACTCCATTTTTATATTCCTGTTCTTTTCAATTTGATATCAATTTTCTGTTGCCAGGCACTTTACCACTTATATCTGTTGACATCAGTAGCATACATAACAGTTGTAGTGTAGTGAACGTGAATAAATGTGGGGATAATCAAATGTATTTGAATACAAAATTACAGAACATTTTAGCAAAATCTAAGAACCATAAAGTAAATACTGAATATGCAAAATGTCAATCAGTTGTCTCAAACTTGATTGTTCCTTTTGCAAATATAAAACAATCGTCTCAGACTTCATTGTTCCTTCATTTCCACGGCGACAATTCTCTGTTTTCATTCTCTTTTCTCTGATTTTCTTAACGTTCTACCGTCAGGTATTTCACTTTCTATTGATGATACATACTACTCATAGCTATTGACATTAGTAGCACACACCACAGTAGTATTAATAGCAGTAGTAGTGTAAAGAATGTTAGTAGTATTTGCAGTAATTAATTCCGATAACATATCTCATAGTTATAGCAGGACTTATAACTTACGGAAATAATACTGTATGTTTCCTGAAAATTACAGTCATTTACATTTAGAAAGGATGATAACAGAAGTGGTGTAAATGTAATCTATCCAATAAGTATACAAACTGTGTTAAAATAAAAACTTTATTTTACAAAATTTAGTGGAAGTTGATCACTTTTATTGGGATTGCATTTGCTCCTCAGTCATTTCTGTTGTATTAAATGTTCTTGAAAGTCTTTAGAAGTCAAACGTTTTAGCTAAATTAACATTTTGATATGATTTCTTCAGTTCCAAATTAATCACTAGAACATTGTGAACAAATGATAATGCGAAATCCAGTTCACTGGCAGAAATCTGAACAATTAATGCATGATTGAAAGGATCACGAGACAGGATACATTGTCTGTTGTCATCAATATATTTCATCCGAAATCTGTCGTGCACCTGTATCGTCATTTTTATCTTCTCGGTTAACACTGAAATGTTTGATTAACTTGATTAGAGACATTTTTCCTAGATCTATCATCTCCACAAGCAGTCATCAATACTGAATGGATGTAATGAGATATATTCTTGTTTCGATAAAAGTTAAATGCAACTCATTTTGCGTGTTTATTGTACAAATCACACATCCGTATGATCTTGATAAGTACATTACATGAATAATGATCAATGCTTGAACAAATATTTTGACAGGATACAGGCACTGACTGTACAGAAGGCATTACTTGTAATCGGGTCAATGAATATTCAATAGTTCAAGACGTTTTCTATTATACTTTTAGGAAATAAATCATCTTTAACAAGATAATGTAATTTTGAATAGTAAGAAAAGAGAAAGCGAATCAAACAACCAAGTGTACATAAACAGGTTCTGACATTCTACTATCATATCTATCATATGTAACTATACTTGATATATGCAACATAGTGAATATCTGTATGTGAACTCTTCTCCTCATATATTGAGGTGCTACAGCTATACTATTAAAATCATAAGTAAACTATGCAATTTCCAATCAGTTGGATTATAACAATAGTAAATAAAGCACTTCATAACAGATATTAACAAATGGAGATTATCATTGTTTGTTCAACACTCTTTATTGGAATGAAGTTTAGATTTTCTAGCTAATAACGAGACGAAGATTGTTTATATTATTAAACGTTAATATTCAACAGTCAATGAATCAGTCGATCAGTGGTACTGGAATTAACGGAAACAGCTACTCAGACTCTATTCCATTGCAGTACTATTGTCTATGTTAATCCCGATAGTTTTCGATTCTCACCTTTTTTAAATGTTGATTTCATTCCAACCGGTACAAATATTTTATTCAGTGACACGATATATTTTTTCAAGTTTTCTATCATTTTGATGAATCCAACATATTTTGCTTACAGTCTTATACTACTTACAAATTTCCATTAGGTGAAAAGTAAAATGTATAATTTCCTTTGTATGAATCATGTCATCAGTGATCAAGTCGATTCACTTTATGTATATTTTCTCAGGAATTAATAAATAGCTCTTGCTTATTTGTTTATTTAAACCAAATATAATACACGACAACTAATTGTCTACATTCATAATGACAATAATACGAACTACATCAAAACATTTTATGTGCATAAGTTCACGGAACAAGGTATTGTTAAATTATATAACATCGCATTCTGCAAAATATAGCGGGGTATGTTTGTGTACTGAAATTATTCACTCTTTTCTTAAACTTAACATTTTGTACCGGTTAAATACATTATGGATACTATAAACATTTAAGACGAAACAATAATATCTTTGACTGAAATGCACAAGCACAAAATATACACGCACACGCACACACATACATTGGTACAGACGTATACTCACATTGATTCACTGAAACATTAATAAACTGACAACTGACATAAATATGAGAATACACTAAACAGTAAAGATAATCTTAATACTTCAGAGTAATCTGACCGATGTAGCAGTAGTAGTAGTAGTGATAATGTGAGTACTAGTAGTAGTAGTATTTAAAGTTGAACAGTTGACAACGTCAATAAATAATCATTAGAAACAAACAAAAAGCAATGTGGAATTTCGATAGCAAATTACTAAAATCAACAATAGTTCACCATAGTTGTTATCATTATTACTATTTGTTATAGTCATCAATAGCATGAAGCAATATATTGATTCAATATAAATTACTAATTAGCAACGTCAAAGATAATCAATAACAATCAAGATGAACAATATTCCTGTATCACATCAATAATATAGAATGATGAACAGATAAATACGTAGACAGATAGATAGATGCACCATTTACTTTACATTATTAATAAAACCTTCATAATTCATAATTATAATAGTAGTTTAAAAGGTGAACAAATGATTCAAAGAAATCATAATTAACACAATTACTATAGTTTGTGTTTGTTTGTTTTTTCCAACAATTGACAATGAAAACGGGAACAAGAAAAGTAAACACGTTTTACTACACACTAACATATAACACAATCTGGTGCAATGCCCAACAATAAAGATTATTTTCAAGGGTTAAACTAAATAATGATACTAATGATAGTAATAATAGTAATAATGACTTTCATTTAAAACAAGGTGAATAGATAAAGAACTCAATTGAACAATTCATATCAGTCATTATCAATGAGTTGTACAAGAAGAAATAATAAAAAAAACGAAATATTAGAAATAAATTTACCGTTGATCATTTGTTAAACTGTTGGCTAATGAAGAAAATTAGACAGAATAATAATAATGATAATAATATGAGTTGTGAAAGTGAATTTATAAAAGATATTGAGTCTTTAATATTCAGAGAACTTATTTCACTTAACTAAATTGAATGATTCGCCGAGACTATAATTTATGGACGATCTAATCAGAAATGTTTCAGGGAGTTCAAGGTCACGACACCAATTTCAGTACACGATGCTCACGTACGACTGGTTCACAGTGGATTTTAGAGAAAATGTGATAATTGAGCGGCTACAACAAATTGGACTATTAAGAAGTTCTTTTATTTGTGATTTTGGTAAGCACATAATATGTGGACCATGTGAAGATGTTGTCCTACGATGTAATGTGTGTGCTAGGATATGACTCTGTTGGTCGATCCAAATTGAGAATAGGGCAAATTCTGACAATTGTTGCGAACTGGATAATAAAAGCACCAGTAACACTGGTTGCTACCAGGTACTAAAATATATACGGATGATTGGAGAGTGTACAGATACTTACATGGACTTGGTTATTTGCATCGTGTCGTTATCCACAAGTGATATTTTTTGAGCCTGACAACCGGAGTGCACACAAACACTATTGAAGCTATGTGGTTGAGGCTGAAAGTATTTTTGCGACCTTATCATGGCTCCAGATGCCGACTATTATGAAGTCATATGGATGATTCCCTCTATCGTATGCATTGCGATTTAAGAACTTTTGAACCTCTTTCTAGATTTGACAAATTTTTAAACCATTTAAAAGAAATGTATCCACTTTAATTCATTAGTTTTGTATAATATATTTTCACTTTATACGAAGTGTTTTGTGATTGGCTAATCTTTCTCAAGGTCACTTAAGATTCGTTCAAAGCTCGTCTATAAATTATAGTCTCGCCCCAAAAAAACTGGTAACAAGCTAAAAAGAAGACTCTTTATTGATTAAATATCTTCATTTATTAATCATTATAACTGAGATATAATGATCTGATAGATTTCTTTTTTCAGAAGACAATCATCTAAGTGGTTAGCCTCTTATGCTTGAAATAGTATTTAACTGTTATAAGTTTTAGTAATAACTATTATAAAACACTTTAATAAAATTATACTGATTGTAGTATCTAATTTGATTGTAAAAGTTGTAGAATAGTAGAACTCCACCAAAATCATCCACCTGAGCTACAAATCTTCTCCACCATAGTAAAACTGAATTTGGCATAAAGATTGTAATTTATAAAACAAACAGAATAATAGTTTACAATATCTTAGTAGATAATGTTGTCTGTTTAATGAGAGGAATAAGACATAATTGTTGTTATGTTAATTTCTGATATTGTCACTATGATATTAGACACAATGAATTTATGACAATTTTAGTTATAATGATTATCACTGACAAACTCAATTGTTGTTTGAAAGAGTTTACACTTTAATTTGTTATATTTTTATAACTATAACGACTAAGAATGAATTCTTATGAGGTAATGTTTTGTATAGAATTAAGATAATATCAAGGATGAAGGGGAATTTCAGTTGCCAATTCATTCAGTGCAAATATATTCAAAAAGAAATTATCTCAATTGTTTAAACTGTAGATTGTACTGGATCATTGATTTCAGTACTGAATAAATTTGTGTTTGGTACTATTTACTATCATACTTTCAAGTTTTAATTTATGAAATATGAAGCATCAATATTTAAGTTGAATAACAGTTGATTGTTGTCTTTATTCTATTAACATGTGTAAAACTCAATTAAATTTATGCGAATGAAATATGAATTGAATATTTGACTTTTAGAAAATTGCATATTGCCTAATCTTGAAAGTTTTATTAAGCCTGGTAGGTTGGTGTCTGACGAAATCATGCAAGAGGTTCAGAATGCCAAAATGATTTTTTTCCAGATTGCTTCTCTTGTAATGTAAGCAAGTTATCAGTATGCTAGTGAAAGCCACAGTACAATTTGCAAAAGTTTGTTCTCTTTTACCTTATGGATGTAATAGGAATCAATAGGCTACTACTTTTCGATGACAGATATTATCAAAGCATTGGTACCACATCGTGGAACAAGGAAGTGGCCAATACTAAGGTATAATAAGCAAAGATGGCAATTTGGTGAATACGGTTGTGAATCTTCATCAAAAAATATGGTTAGGACATAAATTAAATATGCTGAACTACACCATATCTTAGTGCTCAGTGCTGGGTGATGTAGTAGTAGGTTAAAAGAAACCTCGTGGAGTCGAAGACAAAACATGCAATTAGTTCATGAAGTCAATGAAGACTAATCTGTGTCATGTTGGTAAGTAAACACCGTCTGGTTGGATCATATGCAAAGCTCATGATCAGTGATTGGGGTGTTATCTAGTGATGTAGTCTGAAATCGACCACATAGAATATAGATCCGCTAACTCCTCGTTTACCTTTGGATCTTAAGTTTCAAAACTATTTTATATCTCGTATTCTCTTATTTCTTCTAAAATCATATTCTATATTAATTCACCATAAATCGTTTGGTTTTCATTTCATAATAATCTGTTAAGTCGTATCTTACATCAATTATCTCTTCATTTTAAACAGTTTACATTATACCCAGTTGTGCTAACTATATAGAAGTACTTACGGCGAGACTAGAATTTATGGACGAACAAATCATGTATAAAATAACAGGTCTTAGATTTTGGCACGAAATTCATCCACGCATTTGGCTAGATAGAGTCTTGGTATTATAGCTGATGTCAGTTCATGATGAAAACCCTAAATCGAATTCTTAAGCTTAATCATCAACTATAAATCCTAATTTCTCACACAGGTTTATAACCTTCATTTGGTCCTGGTCATTAAGTGAACAGTCTCAAGGTCATTTTTACGTCGCTCAAAGGTCATCCATAAATTATAGTCTCACTTACTCAATTATAATGTATAGTAGTACTTTTGATGTAATTTGTTAATAAAATCATTCTATTTAGGATCATTTTAATGTGATTCAATAGCTAATTACTTTGTTACAATGATATAAACAATTTGTAATATTAATTACTTCCAGTTAATTATTTTATTCAGTCTATTTGGTTAGCTTAAGGTAATAGATTTGTGATCCATTTGACATATAGCTGACTTATAGTGGTAGTCTTATAAAACTTTGAATTTTTGATTCTGTAACTGGTAAATTGTGTATTTCTGGTAAGAATAACATAGTACAGAATACATAAGTATGACACAAGCTCGTGTCCTACATATTCAAGGTTACATATACATATATAGTGAAGTCGGGAATGTGTACTATTGGGTGTCTATCTAGAGTTTTAGTGTCTTAGCTCTCGTCAACAGACCTAGATTTCCTGGGTCTGAACTCTGATGAAGCAATGATTGCTCACTTCAAAAGAGTCCTGTATTAAGTTGCATCATCTAACTGATATTATTCGATATCCTGAAGCACCCTAATGTAGAATAGTCTGTTACAAATGTCACTCACAAACAAAACAAATATTCACAAATCTCCTTTATCAAAAACATGATTAGGATTTTTATCACAAATAGATATCTAAAAAATCACTGAAAAACAGGGAGTAATGGACAGTATTTGAATGATATTATGTTGGTAAAGAAATCTGAAGGATCGTTGATTTGATCTTTTATGGGGACATATAGGTATTTCCTGTTTATCTGTTTATTATTAGAGGGAGACAATTATCCAGTACCTTTTACCATTTAGTTTGCCAATTATTAGTATCAGTTTGTAATAATCTATTTATGCAAAATCTTTATAAGATTACCTAAGCCAAGAATAAATTAAATGTACCTTTTAATGAAACTACAACTTTTCAACTTATTAGTGTATGCTAATAAAACTTGGTCAGTGGATGGAGATTAAATCTTCTTAAGAAAATAGAGCTGTGTATTTGTACAGTTTGTAAATTTATTAAACCCTATATAAAATGTATATAGCAATAGTTTAAAAGAAGTTAAAATGGGCGGGAAGAAGTTTGGTAAAGTTAGACACTAATATTTTAGTATCAAAAGGGGTTTTTGTGGATATTATGGTAACTTTAGTAGTTGAGATCATGAGTCAGTTGAAGCTAGACCACCATGCAAAACCTGGCAGACAATAAAACAGATCATTGAATGAGTCAAAAAATGATCATACATATATATAAGTGTAATCAATTTAAATGAAATCATACCTGTTAATATTAGATCTTTAGTACCTTCTTTCTGTTGTATAGGCATTGTAAGTGCTTGATGTGCCATTGTAGCGAATGGATTTAAAGCAGATGTGACCGGTGAAGGATAAGCTAATCAAATTAATTTTTATCATTGAATAAATGTGTTAATAAATAAATAATCTATACATAAATTAGCCTATCTGTATCAGTTTAAAGCAAAACAACGACTGAACATTCGAACAGATGTAATTGTTAGAATGTGCTAATAACTACCCACATATATATGTAAGGGTTGTAAGGATAATTATTCTACATTTGAGAACATGCTTCGTCGTATTCACTAATTGATATCCTGGGCTGATTAAGCGCTTATAAAATGAATCAGATTGTAAATCATAGTACAATTTACTATCAAATGAACAACTTTAAACTTCAGTATAACAATTTAAGGAGATTAGTCATTTGATAAAGGTTATTAAGTTAATACAGATTTAAATATTATGTACTAGTTGGTTTGATTTTCAAGGTTAGTTGTAGTAGTAGACCTTATAAAACGGTAATAACTCAAAGGTTGACATGTACCCCTTTCATGTTACTGCCAACTGTATTTATAAATTTAAGAGTACCTGCCAAAGCAGCTACATTAACCGAACAGAAAGGAGGGCATATCTTAGATTTTTCGAATATGTTCCAAAAAACCTCAGAACAAGAGAAAGAAATACTCTAAACAGTGCAATCACCAAACATCTATTGGATATAGGACATCAGGTAGATACCTTTCAACCTTTCATGGTGATTAGTAAGCTGCCAAACTTCATTGTTTTGAAGTTTGCTGAAGCCGTTGCTACTAGGCGTCAAAAATCAAACTAATGTGTTCAAAAGGAAATGGTTATTAATCTTCCTTTGCTTTGATGACAAATATTCCTTCGCTACATCCTAAAATGTTTTTTTTCTTTTCCTTTAAACTCTTTCTTACATTTATTACATCATTGGGTTTTATTTCAACTATCTTCCAAATTAATAATCTTATTTTAATTAACTGGTCTCTATTCACTATATTCCTATCAATGTTTACTCATTATATAATCACTTGTTTCTGGCCGTTTGTACTGTTGTCACAATCAATATTGTAGAATATTCTTTCACATAAGGTATATATATTTACAACATTCAGTCTATTCAATTTATTTCCACCCTTACTATGCTATACAAATGTGTCTTCAATATAACTTCCAACCAAACCGTCTCATGTAAGTAATTTAAACCCATTCTGTAATTATGATTTTCTAAATATCACAGAATGTAAGCAACTGACGAGAGCCTAACGAAATAAAAATGAGTTCATGCTATTCTATTAGAATCTTTGTTTTTGCTCTATTCAAAATGACAAAGGGCACCATGTGTATAAAATGATTAAAGTAATCAAACACAAACATGCAGGGACACTATCATCTTGAGATGTAAATCTCCTCTTTTAGATTGGCGAACTTTTACACATAACTCAGTTTGAGTAAAATAATTGTACATGATAAGGTTAACAAAACTTTTGCCTTTAGTAATCAACCATGTAAAGTTTGATTGTTTGAAATTCGATTCGTTAGGAAATATATATGCAAACTTTAATACTTCATAACCTTGCACTAAAAACAGCATAATTTAACTGAAGTATAAATATCACTCTGTAGAAATCTAAATGTTTAGATCACAATACGTTGATTTTCATTGCTAATTTTTGTTGAAAATCGATAGCTAAGAGAACTTGGCTTGTAATATCCATTATCCATGAGTCACTGATTATGCCTCTGAATAGACTTGATTGTGAAACCAATCAGCTTTTAATTATTTGATTCGAACATAGATACATTCACCATTATACAAGGTAGTATAGCTTAAAAACAATTATTTCAATAATGCTAGAGGAGGTAATATGAACTTCACCTATAGGGAAATGGCTATGTTTTAAACAATTTTCAGCGGTATTATTCCATAAAAACGACACTTACATAATCCATAAGTTGGAACACTGGGATACAAATGGGAAAGTGCATCAGTAGGAAGTCCAGTTAATGGAGATGTTAATGTATTTAAGCCAAAAGAAGTATTTGAAACTACAAAAATAAATTAATAAATAGAAATTATTAATAAAACAGAAATTTTTATAAAGACTTATTTTATTTAGATGATTCTATAACTCATTTCCCAAGGTCGTATTGGGTTTTAATCCCCATTAGCACAACAAGAATTACTACTTCAGATGGTGGAGATTTGTAGCTCAGGTGGATGAATTTAATGGAGTTTAGTTCTCTGAGCTGGAATTATTTCTTCTTCTATCTGAAGTTTGTTCTGATGATGTCGTTCAGAAGAACGATGAAAGTTCCACGATCAAAACGTCCAGCTCAGAGAACAAAATTCCATCAAAACAATTACTACTACTACTACCCATGTGTTACGCATACCTAGTATGTAGAGTGAAGTTCGAACCTATGATCTTATAATTTTTAAATGAATATTCCAGCCCAAATGCAATTAATACACTAGCTGTTGAACTGAGATTGTTTGAAAAATAACTTGATAGCTGTTGCTTCCTATTCTAAAACTATTCACTAGTAAATGTCAACGATCTACTTTAGAATAAATTCCATATCTTCTACGCTTCATAGCGCACATGATGAATACAATTTAGACCTCAAAGTCAGGAACCAGTGATCTGAGTTTCCGACTCCATTCAATTTAATTGGTAGGTGTTTTACCTTAAGTTCATAATATTTTGAAACTAACAAGTCGAAAATATTGAAAATCCATTTCACTGCTAGTCACTCGCAAATGCACCATAGTTGGATGAGATGTGAAGATTAGTTAAGCCTGGTCAAACGTAAATTCCAATGAGAAACCAAATCGGCTTTTGTAATAACTCTATCGTCGATAATAGTTCGCAACAGTAGGAAAAAATTATCATAATCGTATGGACAGAGGGATTTTTTTAATTTACCTGCTAATTAGTATCTAAATGACCCTGAGTGAGCTACTTAATCATGACATTTATACAAAAGCATATAAAATTTAAGTTTTAACTTATCTCTTGAATCGTTTACATCTGAATCATCCATACAATGTGTTCCTAATTGTTTAATTGATCAAGCATGCACTAAGAATAATTAATACTTTCTCACGGTCGGAATCACTAGTCGATCTATCCTAGACCATTATCATGAACCTCAAAACTGGACAGACGGTTCGTCATATCGAGGGACTCCTCAGAAGTGAAGATCCACGAATCCTCGTGTGGAACTCGAAATGTACTATGTGAGATGTCTGACACTTAATATAATAATAACGGTGTGATGCTGGACAGTGATAGACTTACTTGCTTGATTCAAAGGAAGAGAAACAGCGCCAAGACCACTGAGAGTTGCCGATGGTGTATGTGTCCCAGGAACTCCATGTAGAGCCAATGTATGACCACCAGTTCCGGGAGATCCTAAGCCTATTGTTTGTCCTGTCAAACCACACGTTGTTCCATTTGAATTCACATTCCCTGTCACATTCCCATTTGCCATAGCAACTACAGCTGCGGCGGCTGCAGCCATTGCTGCATTTGTACTGAGTGCAGCGGCGGCCGCTGCCGCTGTAGAGTTTCCATTATTAGTGGGGTTATTATTTCCTGTCTCTCCAGAAATACATGTACTGTTTACATTGGATAAAGCTGCCATTTGAGGTGATATTTGTGTTAGCTGAGGATTATTGCCGGACATACCAAGCACAGCGGCGGCAGCTGCTGCCGCAGCCATTGGATTTGTATGACAGTTAGGCGATAGATTAACAGTACCTGAACGTGGACTATGCAGTAGTGGAGCACAGCCTAAATGTCCACTGGAACCGTTGGTTAAAGCAGAAATCATTGCTAAATTTGTTACATTAGTCGGTAAGTTGACTGTAGCTAACTGACTGGCATGCTGAAGTTGTAATGCCAATGCAGCAACTGGATTTATATAACCTGTTGTTTGTGCCATATTCTAAATAAATCAAGACGTTTTTATAAAAATTAGTAACCAATTCTAAATTTGTTAATATAGAAAGTATTAAAATCTGTAGAAACTGTTGTAAATTAAAACAATGTTTTATTGGCTGTTTTGTGGTGTGCTACTGATGTCGACAGATATAAGTAGTATGTATCATCAGTTCAAAGTGAAATACCTGGCGGTATAAGGTTAAGAAGGTCGAAGAAAAGAGAAAGAGAACAGAGAATGATTGATGTGGAAACGAAAGAACAATAAAGTCTTAGACGATTGGCTGACATTCTGCAAATGAAGTATTTATAATATGGTTCTCAGATTTTACTAAAATGTTCTGTAATTTTGTATTCAAATACATTCGATTGGTCCCACTTGTGTTCTCGTTCGTTACGATTTCATTATTGAACTATTCTGATAAAATGTAAACTGGTTAAACTCAAAATCTAATATTGTTTAATTACCGTTGTTTCACACAATCATCATTAACGAAATGACTTTATTTGATTAAATAAACATTTCCGAATTTATAAGCAATCACTTCAAATATTAACTTTATAATTTGCCAGAAGGGGTTTTTGCAGATATTATGGTCATTTTAATGGTTGAGATCATAAGTAAATTGAAGCTAGACCACCATGAAAGACCTGAAAGCACTGGACGGCCGTTTCGTCCCAGTATGGGACTCCTCAGTGGTGCGTATCCACCATCCCGCTTAGCGAAATTCCAACCCAGCACCTATCAATCTTGCGCGCAAATGCTTAAACGCTAGGCCCTGAGAATGCCAACCCAATAACTAGAACCAAATGTGGATTATAAAACAGTTTGAAGAATAAGGATTATGATTTACATTTGATCGTTAATGTTAGGAATTATATTTAGGGTTTTCATCACGAACTGACATCAACTATAATGCCAAAACTCTATTTACCCAAATAAATAAATGAATGTCGCTCCACAATCCGATACCTGTTATTTTGTACGTGATTCGTTCGCCCATAAATTACAGTCTCGCCGATATATTAAATAGCACAGCTATTAAATGTCAAATAATCGGTATTATCTGTTATATCTTAGTGAAGATCAAACTACGGGTAACTTTTGAGAATTATTGATGGACTAATATTATATATATATTGTATAACTGTTCAGTAACTAGATTATGCATATCTATATTCCTGTTATTATAAGCTTCATTTTGACCTATAGATTATTATAGTTCTTAAGTTAAGTTTATTGATTACAATCTCCCACGTTCACATCCACTTTTGCGCTTGATCTTGTATAAATGTTATTTCTTATTTTATGGTGCGATGCGGTCTGTCTTTCTGGTATATAAACCAAGTATATTTGAAATAAATGATTCGTACAGTGAAAGCTGACAATGGCGTTCTGGACTTAACTGGACGGGCTAGGCGAGCAAAAGACCAGTAAGTACTCCAGGCTTCTTATACCGATAGAACGTTATTGTTTTGGCACAGAACTAAGATTGTATAAGTCGTATTTCGATTGGCGAATAAATTACGTGATAACTAGCCAGGCTTAGTCACAACGTTATCAATAAATCATTTTCACAGAACTAAATATGAGAATCTTTTTGTATATAAATCATGACTACATATGCACTTACCTCTATCATTTGTGAATACATATTACCATTTAGTTGAGACAGTGCTATGGTTGGACTCAATAAACCCATTGGACCAATTAATTGTTGAATTTTTCTTGTATGACGTTCTTTTTCACTATCGGCAAATTTCACAACGATACTTGATGAAGCTCCCTGACATTATTCGTAATGTGGTTTTATATCGTTGGTGATGATGAAGTTTTAATTAACAAATGATGCCGATTCCAGAGAGGATGAATATTCAGACGTGGTAATATAAGAAAGATTAAACTTTACATTTCTATTCAAGTAAATTGAACTTCAATATATATATAGCAAGAAAGAGGCGAAAGGATCCAAAATATGAAACCTGGATAGTTATACTTGACTGAACTAGCAACTCACCAATGGCGTAGGATAATAGTTTCGCAACATCATGGATTGATTAAGATTGGAAATCCAAACAGTTTTGCATTGACTCAGTGACTTAAATATCAAGCCTTATTTATGAAATTTAAAGATCCTGGGTTCAATCCATGTGGGTGGTAGGCACGTGGTTGCCAACTGTTAAGACATTGCATACCACCAGGATGAACTAGATGTACAGTGTATCCGGGTATTCGATTGTAGACCAACTAAAGTCAGTTTGTGATGCAAACAGTAATATTTTTTTCCGAATAATTTTATGTAGATCTACTGATAAACTTTAGTGATTCATTTCTTTCGATAATCTAAAATTATGGTCAACTGAATAAAATTAGATTACTCATTTTCGTAGTTATAAACCTGCTAAACTCAATGTTTTGCTATTCATTTTGTAGTCATGTGGCTTACTTGTTTATACATGTGATCTATGAATATGGATTATAAAAAGTACTACAAAACATCAAGGTGTATCGAGTTCTCATTGAATTCCTGGCAAAGTGATATTTGGGAGATGAGAAGGATGCACAAATAGCGTTCAAAGTTTTATTATTTTCGGTGTCGATAAAAAAGTAACATTTACCTTACTTAGAGATATGACCCAAAAAATCGTTGAATACTGAAATCGATCTAGAAGATTTTTGGGAACGATTTTTAGGACAACCTATGTGATGTTGGATATTCTAAATTTAAACAGTTTTGTAGATTTTGAGTGCTATGTAATCATGATTGTCTTGAAAATTAGTTTCTAAATCATTGAATCGATGATCATTAATTTTCTGTCAAATGATTATGAACATTTCATGTAAGAAAGCATATTAAACCATCGTATCTTATCGGTTGGGGTTAGGGATCACAATTTTATTGATCAATTTTGTAACTTGTTAATTATAATTGTTACCATTTAATTATTAATCAAAATCTATTAGTCATGATACTTTTGGAGGACAAAATACTTTTCCATAAACACACACACACACACACACGAGTATATCGAAAACTTACCGGCATTGTTTGACTTCCATGTAGAGTAAGAATAGCGGATTGTGCTTCTTGTTGTGTAGAGAATTTTACAAACGCACACCCTTTATTTGAAAGAACAAAACGAAATGTTTCTATGTCAGGTTTATAATAAATTAATTGAAATTATGGTTAGTATAATAATAATATCAGAAGGGTTCTTTGTGGATATTATGGTAGTTTTAATCGTTGAGATCATGAGTCGATCGAAGCTAGACCACCATGGAAAACCTGAAAGCACTGAACGACCGTTTCGTCCCAGTATGAGAATCCTCAGTGGTGAGCATCCACCATCCCGCCTAGCGAAATTCCAATTCAGGACCTATCAGTCTTGCGTGAGAGCGCTTAACCACAGGACCACTAAGCTGGCATCCAATGGTATTAATATCTAACTTCAACCAATACACGAAGTCGTGCCACCGTCCACCATTATCTTCAATGAGTTACTATCTCACAGCAGACCCTGATGAACTCAACTTGTCACTGCTTAATAATAATAATAATAATAATGGTATTAATAGTATTAATAATAATATGAATGGATTTTACTAGCAGATGACAATTTTCCATGAACTCTGAATGTTTTGTTTCGATTAGCTCGACTGAATTGTATTTTTAATTTTTGAAAAACTAGATTCCACTGCTAGCCACTATCCATCTTTTCTTATAATGCTTTAGAAATATGGCAATATCGAGGCAATGCGCACAGAATACACATATGTCAATAAGAAATTGATGAATTGCAGTCCTAACCATCAACTCGAAGATTCAATTAAACAATACCAAATGAATTAAAACTCTTGGTTTTAAACTCGTCAATACTAGATACCTATGATCTTTAAACGAGATCTAACCAACGATAATTGTGTCGCTCACAAAATATGATTATTTCAGATCAATAAGCCAAAAACTATTAGTTTATATTGTCGTATTCAATCAGTTTGTGGTACGGCTCACCGTCCTAACGCTATGTGATCGATGAGTTATTATCATACTCCTTAGACGAATTTTTTTACAAGTCAGTACGGAATTATTATTTGATAGGGTCAAGATTAATAATAATGACTGAAAAACTACTGAAAACTAAGAGTGGTAGATAATTGTTTCGTTTTAGTTTAGGGCTTTTTGGTAGTTCTCACTTACTGTCCAGCAAAGATTTTAACGTAAGATTTCCCATAATGAAAACTCACTTTGAATAATTCGATTTAACTTTTCATGGTGGTGGAATCGTGTTAACTAATAAACAATATTATTATCACTTTTGTAGTTTGCATCAATTACAAATTGTTCTGATTTAAGGTATTCTTAGAAACCAAAGAGTGCTGGGTAGTTATGCCACCTGAAGGAACGGGCATCCATGATCTCATCATATTATCTCTCAATCAAATAAAACCATTGTGCTGACATCTAGTGGTACAATTTCATGTACAACAAAATACACATCTAGTACTCTATGGTTTCTGATGGCATCTCAAATGAGATCAACATGTGACGAATACAATTTGCAAATTAAAAACCCAATCAACACAAAATCTCTTCAGCTATAGAAAAAACAATAATACTTTGAAAGAATTCAACTTAGCAATTAATTTGTAATGGATCATCATGAATATTTTACCTTTACTATTTCCACTTTGATCTCGAAGTATTGTACACTCTTCAATTGTACCAAATGGTTCAAATAATAATCTGACATCATCTTCATTTTGTTGTTTACTTAACATACCAACAAATAATTTACGTTCTTCTAAATAGAAATAATCAGTCAATAAAAAAATAATGTAAAATGCTCATTTAAACATTAGGAAATTTACTATATATATATTGAACGATTTGAACATTCAATACTTGTATAATTTCAACAAAGAAAAACAATTGATATTGTTTTACTTGAATCTTCCCATTGATGTTTTTGGGACTGGAATTGATCAGTCTCTTATTGGCATATGTGCATACTGTGCGTATGCCTCGATATTACCTTAATTTACAAGCATTATAAGAAAAACAATTTTTAGGTTATTGTATTAACTATATAACATGTAACTATGGAAGCTTCTTTGACACTTCAGGGTGCCTGAAAAGATAGTCAATATCATACGGAATTCTTATGATGGATTAAACTGCAAAATAGTGAATGGATGAAAGTTTACACACTCGTTCGAAGTAAAGATCGGTGTCAGACAAGGTTGTTTACTCTCACCCTTTCTCTTTCCCCTGTGATCGACTGTAATGTAAAGACGTTAAAATCTGGAAGGAAGCATGGGATACAGTGGACAGCTAGGATGCAGCTGGACGATTTAAACTACGCAGATGACCTGGCTCTTCTATCGCACACGCAACAACAAATTCAGCAGCCTCAGCAGCAGTAGGTTTCAACATACACAAAGAGAAAAGCAAGATTCCCCGATACAACACATCATGCACCAATCAAATCACACTTGATGGGGAAGCTTTGTAAGATGTAAAAAGCTTTACATATCTGGGCAAAGCAGGAGCAGTATACCTACAGCTGAAGGACATCTGGAACTCAAAACAACTGTCAACCAACATCACGGTTGGAATTTTCAATACAAATGTCAAGACGGTTCTACTGTATGGGAAGGAAATTTGGAGAACTACGAAAGCCATCATCCAGAAGATACAGGTGTTTATTACCAGCTGTCTACGCAAAATACGTCGGATCTATTGGTCAGACACTATCAGCAACAACCTAGTGTGGGAGAGGACAAACCAGATCCCAGTGGAGGAATAAATCAAGAAGAAGCGCTGGAAGTGGATAGGACACATTGAGGAAAGCATCCAAATGCGTCACAAGACAAGCTCTCACATGGAATCTTCAAGTCCACAGGAGGACAGGGAGACCAAAGAACACATTACGCCGAGAAATGGAGACAGACATGAGAAGACTGAACAAGAATTGGATAGAGCTAGAAAGGAAGGTTCAGGGCTGTGTTGTGTTGGAGAATGCTGGTCGGCAGCTTATATTCCATTGGGAGTAAAAGGCGTAAGTAAGTAAGTAATATAACATGTTAATTTGTGAAGCTTCATTAATTCCAACTTCTCAATAGAATTGCAGAAATATTATCTTGAAGTTCGGCATTAAATAATTAATTATTTTTATCAGTCTAATTTCATTATATTGTGAAGCTAATGAATATTCATCATGATACCCATTATCTAAGTAACATTATTTTCACTATCAATGTATGCTAGACCACTATTGAAAATCTGGAAGCAGTGAAGGGCCGTTCCGTCTCATTTCGGGACTTCTAAGCAGTACTGATAAACACCATGAAACAAATCTATATATCATTATATGAACTCAGTGTAGTATTGAAACAAGTTTTTTCATTTCTTATTGTCCATTAAAATATCTTTATATTTTTGGTATTCAAACAATAACAGATTCTCTTATTAGTCATTAATTATAGCATATTCCATTTACATGTATTATTATTGTTATATATTTATATTCTAGATTTTATGTATTCTGATAGAAAATTGAATCATCACCGTCGTCGTCGTCATCATCATCATCATCATCATCATCATTTTATACTTTACAATTAGCTGATAAATTGGTTGTTTGCGAGAACAAACTATGTTGTTATTCAATCTCATGTAATAATTGTGTAATAATATCAATATTTAGAGAAGGGTTTTGTGGATATTATACAAATTTAATAGTTGAATTCATGAGTTAATTGAAGATGGACAACCATGGAAAACCTGGAAGCACTAGTCCTAGTATGGGACTTCTCAGCAGTGCATACCAATGATCCCGCCTCGCGGGATTCGAACCCAAGACCCGTCAGTTTTGCGCGTCAAGGTTTAACCTCTAGACCACTGAGCGTATATCCAATGGAGTTAATGTCTAACATCAAACAATCCACGAAATTGATCCACCAACCACCATTGTCATAATATTAAGTTATAATTGAAACTCATAGATTAGGAGGTTTCTGAAGATTTCTGGCGGCTCGACATAGTTTGTGTCAAATAATCTTTATTTTTAGTTTAAATCTACTTGTCAATAATCCTTTAAAGGTATTAATTATGAAAGTTACCAAATTTCCACCGTATACTTTAACACATTTAACTTGAGATTGTTTTTACCACTAATTTTAACTACTATCTTTAATTCAGTAAACAAATTTGTATACAAAACAATTTTTCATCTTATTACAAGGTGGAAATAGCATCGGAAATTGATGTAATAAATATTACGTAATTCCCAAAAATCATCTAATATAAAAAGACAGTAAACAGTAGTGACGTCTCGTACTCTCAAACTTGGTGACATGAGTTTAAATTTCACTGGGATCATCATTTCTTTCATAGATCTGAGTGTATCACGGTGATAAGCATGTAATTTCAGTTCAGGGTTTCTTGTCGACTACCATCATCTTATTAACATGAAAGCTCTAACTACCATAAATATTCATTGTCAAAGTCATGCATGTTGCCAGTGAACAATAATGAAATTTCCCACATATGTTACGTCAGTTATCCAATAAACAACAACTAAATTAAATTTCGCAATCATTGAAAGTCAACTGGTAGGATTTTATTAGCCTTACATTGTATGACAAAGTATATTAAATGTTATGATAAAACTGTTATCCATACTCTTAAATGAAAATATCTTATGAACTAGTTGGTGCGTAATCCTGTTCAATATCTGTCACCCAAAGGTATTCAACTTTATTATTCAGCATCATAATACTAAACCATGATAAAATAGAATGTGTTCGTTTTTTTAGTTTATCAGACCTCCGTCAGTCGACGCCTTTCTGATATTCGTCAGCAAAATTATAAAATTAACTTTATATAAATCAATTCTACATCATACACATTAAATTCTGTCACCTGGATCTAACAAACCTTATATAGAACTATATGTATATTTATGTTTACTACTAATGAACTAAAAGCATTCAACATCACACTGAATAAGCTACGATTAGCTTTATACTTAGATTGAATGCTTCGGTTAACCGATTTTGTTATTAATTTAAAGTAATTGAACACAGGCTGCATTCTTATCCTGAAGTGAATTCAAACAAACAATCCTATCTTATGTAAATTAGTTTGTGGCTTGTATATCTTATTGTTAATTTATCTGTTGAAGCTTCCGATACATCTAACTAAAGACCGAAAACAAGCATGAGACTACGGTGGTGATCAATTTCAAGCATCTTATAGAAGCGGAATACTGGTTAATGCGCTGACCGTCCAAATAGTAGGTTATAAGTTCAATACTTGGTGAATTATTGCTTTTAAAGCGTGCATCAGAAAAGTGTATTGTTAAATAAACTATTAAAGTTGTTTATCAATAACAAATTGTAGATATAAAGGATAGAGCAAGACTATAATTTATGGACGAACAAATCCTGTATAAAATAACAGGTCTTAGATTTTGGCACGAAATTCATCCACGCATTTGGCTAGATAGAGTCTTGGTATTATAGCTGATGTCAGTTCATGATGAAAACCCTAAATCGAATTCTTAAGCTTAATCATCAACTATAAATCATAATTCTAATTTCTCACACAGGTTTATAACCTTCATTTGGTCCTGGTCATTAAGTGAACAGTCTCAAGGTCATTTTTACGTCGCTCAAAGGTCATCCATAAATTATAGTCTTACTACGGACAGTTTTAAAATCACCGTCCACATTTGATTATTGTATTATGGATTGTGATTAGATGAATGTAGGAGCCATCTTAGAATTAATTAAATAAATGAATTCAATTTTGTTCAAAAAACGATACATAGTGAAATAATCTGAGTGTATGATTGTTTGTCAGAAAACTGAATTATTGTCATAAATTCATAAATTAACTCAAATCAACGATAAGACTAATAGACAGACATTGTTCTTTAGTAACAGGTGAAACATGATTAAACTTCGTAAACGATTAGTTAGTAAGACCTTAATACATCACCCTAATGGAGTTTACTATCTGGTTATCATATCATAAACAGTATGATCTTAGAAAACATCACTTTGTTCTATACTTTCGACAAACTATCAATGAAACCTAGTCTTCAATCATTCAAACATTAATAAAGATTCGGTATGTTGATTATGAATTGAATGATCACATCATTTACTAAGCATTTTAGATTCGTTTGGAAATATTGTGAGTTAAATACACCAATTATTTATGTTCATTAAGAGCAAAGGGAATGATATCTACCAATTTCTAAATGTCTATGGTTAAAATATTCTTTAAGTCACGTTAAACCGCTTTTAGTTTGTGAATAATATTTTAGTGAATTTTACTATATTACTGAAATCGAGTTGTAATTTAAGTGAACTTGAAACTTTGTGAACAACAAACACATAGATGAATTAAATTAATAGTCTATTCAATCAGGAGAAATGAAGTGAATTGTGTACATGGTTTTTATGTTTATGAAATGTTACCAAGGGTTTTTCATCAAACCAATAAACTATCTGGAAAAAATGAAGCAATCAGATATATGAATGGATATAAAAGTTTTTCTAAGGTTGAATAACTGTGCAGGAATGAAGACAAGCTATTGTTATCAACTAATACATATGAATAAATTCAAGCAGATAAATCCATTTCAGTGGTTGAGATCATGAGTCAATTGAAGCTAGATCATCATGGAAAACCTGGAAGCACTAGAAGGCCGTTTCGTCCTATTGTGGGACTCCTCAGCAGTGCGAAATAAGACGTAACGGCCGTGCAGTGCTTCCAGGTTTTCTATGCTGATCTCGCTTCAATTGATTCATAATCTCAGCCATTGAAATTTTTATAATATTCACAAAAGCCTTCATTTCGGTTTAAAAAATCAAAAAAATTCGTTTTCACAAACATCAAATAGGACTGACACATCAGAATCATAAATAATGTGAAGGATAACATGTCCTTCATAAATAGTACCGTTTTACGTTATTCTTTAGTTTTTCAAGGTATCGAATAATCTTTCATTATCCGAATGATGTACACTTGTTGTTCGGCCTTAGGTTTATCAACTCAAAATTTTAAACAATTATATGTCGGCCCAATTTTCATTACTACCTCAGATGGACAGAATGCGAGTCGAAATAATAACAGAATGAGTGATAAAATGAAGGACCAGAGAGACAATTTTATATGAGAAAAAAGAATGAGTTCATGGAATTACAAGTATGAAATATTGTAGTTTTACTTCACAGACTGAACTTCATTAGACGACTATTGAAAACCAAGATATAGTACTACGCATGCACTTGAATAAGAATCCTCATTAGTAGTGCCCATTCACAACCAAACCAGGGTCCATACTCAGGACTAATCAGGTCTGATTATGAGCATTAATCCATCAAACCACTAAGTGTGAGACAAATAACATCAATGACAATGGATAATGGTTACCAAATATCACAGTGACTGCCGTTGGGTATGTAAACCTATCGACCCAAAGTCTGTGGTCTGAAGCTTAAGCTTACTATTCAAAGCCCTGAGGTCGTGGGTTCGACTCGCGAGGAGGTTGTGCATACTCATTGATACTGATATTGACCAGCACTCTCTTATTTCCACTGATACGTGAAATGAGATCATTTTATGACAAATGGAATCGATGACTGATTTCATTTATTCACATTCCTGAAATATTTACCGACAAGTTATGAATAAGAAATGACCCATTTAGTCTCAAAACAAAGGATATTATGAGAACAATGGGTGAGTGCGTGAGGAAAGTTAGAATGAATATGCTCGCCATAAACAAAACATATTGTGAATTCCCTCTTTCATATGACTCATCTTGCATATGATGACCTTGTTTTAAGGTCATGGAAATTTCCCTAAATGGATGAATATTTCATTCTTCTTATTATTATTATTAGAAAAGGTTTAAATTATCCCACTGTTGATATTCAAGACTAAATTTTGGTTAGCTTTAGTTGGTATATATGCATTCTAAGTGTACATAACCATTTTATCACAAGTTTTAAAATAGATAGATTATGACTAACAACAGAATCTGGTGAACTTCATTATGTACAGACGGTTCAAAGATTTTTAAGTCTAATTAACAAGTCGAACTGATATTGTAGATTTTGCTGTTAGATGTTTTATAAAAGGGCATCCATAAACTCCTCACCCTAATAATTATCATTTATTTATTTATGACTAATTATTTATATGTATCAGAGGGGGTTTTTGTGGATATTATAGTAATTTTAATAGTTGAGATCACGAGTCACTAGTGACTCGCTTCAAGAGGTATTTCCTGGAGTTCTAGTGAGAAGCAGTGACCAGTGGATTTCAACCGGGTCTGTTGTCATATAGCAACTCACTAAAGACAGTGGTAGATGTGTCGCTCAATTTCGTGGATTGGTTGAAATTAGACATTAACACCGTTGGACGCCGGCCGTCTCAGTGGTCTAAAGTCAAACGTTAGGGCACGAGATTGATAGGTCCTGGGTTGGAATCCCGCGAGGCGGAATCTTGGATCTGCACTGTTGAGGATTCCCAGCTAGGACGAAACAGCCGTCTAGTGCTTCCAGATTTTCTATGGGGGTCTAGCTTCAATTGACTCATGATCTCAACTATTAGAATTATTTATTATTGAAGAAGTTTCGAAGAAAGCCATGATTCATGGAATCGATTAAGTTTAGAGCATGGCAAAATAGCTCACCAATGATACTAGATAAGTGAAAAATACAAATCAATACAGTTTAATTCAGTAATCTGAATAGCGTTTGTCAAATCTTTATAAAAAGGATTACGTATTGAAGTTTCAGTTAGCCTATGGTAGGTCATGTTTACGAACAAGTGAGGAATTCGAATAAACCAAAGATTGGATACAGAACAATACTTCAACATTAGTAATATACACACTAATATGAGGTTGACAGGATTGGACTTCCAGGAACGCTTTATATTTCAAACAAAATTCAAACATTGAAAAACGGATAACTGTTTAAATTGTAATATTCAATAATCTTGAAGCACATAACAAACATAACAAAAAATAAAGGACAACAACCAATCAGGTAAGAGTAGCTAAACATCATCATGAATATGTGAATTAGGTAAATGTTGTCAAGGTTATCCTTTACAAATAACTAAGTTATAGTAATAAAACAAACTAGATAACCTTGATTTCGATGGAGTTTTTGTTCTCTGAGCTGGATGGTTTGGTCGTGGAGCTTTCATCGTTCTTCTGAATTACATCATCAGAACAAACTTCAGATAGTAGTAATTCAAGTACGATAAAAAGTTCAATTTCATTTAACTATTTTGTTTAGAATAGCAGTTCAAAATAGTAAACCTTTGTCACTAAAATAACTTACCGCTATTGTTGGTATTACTGCTAAAACTGTTATTACTATTCGTAATAGCATTTAAATTACGTGATTTTTGATTAGTATTGCCAATATTATTATTATTATTATGACTAGAACTAATATTATTACTACTAATACTAGTACTACTACCACCAATATTACTATTATTACACATATCCATACTGTTCAGACTAGTTTTACTTCCACGTTTAGAAGATCTTTGTGAATTCAAATTACTTGTCTCCATTGGGTGTTGTTGTTGTTGTTCATTTATTAAATGATGATATTGTTGTTGAATGAAATCTGTATCATTTAAACTAGTTCTATCTATCAATCCACTAGTTGTATAGGTTGTTATTGTATCTGACGATGATAATGATGATGATGATGACGGTATCATAGTTGTTTTACATGATAATATCATTGATGCATTTGACTGTACTGAACTATCTTCAATTTCTTCTAATTTCAAATGTTCCGAATTTAATAAAAACTCATATGAATGACAACAATCAGTTAATGTTTTAGGTATATTTGTAATACAGATATTATTTTTTGAAATATTCACATTACTATTATTATTGTTATTATTATCGTCCTCATTACAGTTATCATTAGTTGTATGAGTTGTATCTTTCAATGATGTGGATTGTTCTATATGACATTGAAAACTATTATTCAATACTGTTAAATGTGTAATGGAACTTGAACAAGGTGGATTATTTGAAGCTTTACCATGAACATTATTTATTTGTTCTTCTTTAGTTATACCACATATAACTTCATCATTTTCATCAACTATTGCATCAAGAATATCATCCATATGACCAGTTGTACAATCTGAATTATAAGTAGTATTTATATTAGTAGTATTGGTAGTGGTAGTAGTAGTAGTACTATTGGTATTTCGTGATAAAATGGAGCATATTTCATTAGTCATAGTGATTATTTATTGATTATAAACATAAACAAATACATTATATGTTATAATCCTGGGTTAAATCTTGTTTGATCGAGTTCATCTGTACAAATATGAATAATTTATGTATATATATGTATATACAAATTAGGGTATTAAGATACTCTAATCAATTTAGTTTGATACAATAGAAAATGGAATACTTATATTATCATTACTATTATTAAAATAACACAGATGTTTATATGAGAGGGAGAATTGTTTATTGATTTACTGTCTCTTTCTTCTCTCACGCCTTCTTACTCAATGAGTCTTATCTTCCCGTGGGGATATTTATATTTATTATATATCAAAACAGACCAATTGCCTATTTTATTGATATTAAAATAGAGATGAATGTAGATAAACAGACTGTCAGCCCACATATATATATTCTCCTGTTTGAGCCCATTTCATCTAAACAGATTAATAGACGAATGATCTAGGCTTAATACAGACTCATCAATAAATGCTTGAGAAGAGAATTAAGAGAAAGAGTTATTCCCTTTTTTGAATCCTATTTCTATATACTCATTGATTAAAGAAAAAGGGGATAGAAGAGAATATTTCCATCGTAGACAATCTTTTTAACCAATCCAAATAGAGTTTAATATAAGCATATCAATATATATATATATATATATATATATATATATATATATATATATATATATATATATATATATTATAATATTATATATATATATATATATATATATATATATAGGACTACAATATACAAAATCTCCACCAGGATACATATACGTGTCTGTAAGTCTATAAAACCTGAGTAGTAAAGCATTGAATTTTTATCAAGTTAGAGTTTGGAGAATATGTGTTCACAGTTTCACCCTGCCTATAAGCATCTATACTAACTGACTTGGGTTAAAAAGTTAACGTTGTGTCCACATTTTGTCAATAATATATATATATATCTGCGATACTAAGTTATTGATTTAATTAAGGCAACAATTGATTATTGTAGACTATTTTAAGAATACTGTTTTGTTTGTCACTCAAATCACTAGCAGATTGTTATCTGTCATTTAGTGAACTGAATGGTCATGAATTAAATGGAAAAAAGTAAAAATAAAAACGTTTAGTGAAAAAGTATACCGTTTAAGATGAAAAATCAATTTGATACCCTAATAAAATCATGATGTTATTAGTATGTAATACAAAATGAATGTTTTTTTTTCTTTCAGTTCACTTATAAATGAATATCAACTAGAAGATCTAATACCTCTAAATGGCCTAGTATGGCCGAGAGTGGGTAGAGTCAGCTCTTTCTCTCCACATGCTCTCACATGGCCACAGGCATACAACCACTGTCAGGGAAGTCCTAATCACTGCATTCTCGTGGCGAGTGTGTTGTTTACGAAATTGAGAGGAAGAAAAGCGAATTTCCGGTGCTTTAAGCGGAATGGTGGATACAGAATATCCACTTACAGGGATTGGAAAATCTTGCTTCCAAACCAATGGTGCAAATGGGCTTCAGGATCCTGAAGGAATAAATAGCGCATGAACCAATTGTTGGTCACCGGCTACCATGGGACTACATCTACTGTCGTTGCTCCACTGCTTTGTGAATTAGACACTTAGGTCTAAGGCTCAGGGCATGGCTCCCTTAGAAAACTACCTGATCCGGTTTGGGCACCCAGGCAGTAGTCCTAGCCTTCACACAAATCGAATGATTTATGTGGCCTTCTTCTACCAATGTTTATGTGTTTATATAAAAATAAATAAAGAAGGTCTAATAAAAACTAGAAGATAACAATAACACATATTATGTTTGATTTCCAGACTACTTAGAAGGGTTCATCTCCAATCTAGTGGAAGAGTATCATATTTCTTAACAAATATGAAACACTTAGATCGTTGAGTAAGGGTTCATTGTTGGATATTTTAAGCAATTTATTTTGTTATAGGTTATAAAAAGCCTTATCACGTAAACATAAACACAACTTATCTCTTCATATGAGATAATCATCAAACTCTTGTAAATGTAGTGTACTAACTTCTTTCATAAAAGAGCTTAATTTCCCTATAGAAACTAAAGAAATCGTATGTGTCTCGACATTTAGATGATCCAATCCATCGTTTCATTATGTCAGTTTACATGAATAGTAAATAAATCATTTGTTTTAATGGGCTAAATTAAATATAACAATCAACAAAATTAAAACCAAATTAAGTCACATGTTTAAAAGAAGGATATTAACTGGGTTAGTCAACCCTAATAGTTAGAGAGATAATTATATGTATTCGATATATCTTGAGCGTACTGCTATAGGATTAAGAGAAGATTTTGTAACCTGACTTTATATGCTTGAGTAGTTCTTTTTAGGAGCTAAAAAGCACACCTTCCAAAGACTTGATCACAGGTTCGAAAAATAATCTATTTACTTCAAGTTTGGTAGAGTGGGAACAATATTAAGGAACTTAATTCGAATGTAAATACATGAAATTATATTTCGTTATCACTGAAGTATTCGAACCCGCCTTAACCATTGACTTGAAAAGTTCAGATTCTGAAACCAAGTGTCTCATGTTCGAGCCTCAGCGTGGATATCAATTTCAACTCAATACTTTAGATTCATCTTGCTAACTGTTCATGAAATCAAGCTCCTAGTCACTAAAATATATTTTAGTGAAAGTACACTTTTTCTACTAATTCTATGAGTGATAAAATCGAAACTTCATGCATAACTTATAACCAAATAAAATAATATAATCAGTTGTGAATATTTATTTAAACACAAAACTATTATTTATCAGATATTCATAAGCACTCAGCTTCATATTTAAAGCTTTGTAAACTTCGTATAGAATAGATATATTAAGGAGTGTCAGAATTTTCTATCCATGTATTCAGTGTAAGATCATCTAATCCTTGTTCCTTACTGAATCTCATAAAATCAGTTTTGGAATTTATCCAATTGATTAACTGACTCAAAATGTCAGTGAACGTTTATTTGATGCTAAACTACTACAAGAAGTTGATGGCGAACCCTAGACAAAGGTTTTGTGCTAATTTATCGATTAGCTCAAAAAATTCACTTCTTATAGCAGGACAATCGTTACCCATTATGCTCCTGTGAAAATGATTCCGATTATATCACTAAAATAATTAATTTCGGGTTTCTTATGGAGTAAAGAGCCTTCTATCATTCTAAATGAGCTTTAACGTCAAACCTACGTTACATTGGGTTATCTACTGGTTGCCTCAAACCACCTTCTAGACAAATAAATATTTGCATTAGTTGTAATAAACAGATGGATCCGAATTCAAATGATCTAAAAACTTATTACGTTTCTTATGAGGTTTCATTCTATTGAAAGATTGACCTGTAATCAATTTTATTCTACAGAAAATTCTCTCCAGTCTATTTTGAAATCAGTGATATAATTCTATCATGAGCTTAACTTATGAAAACCTGATTATGTTACTTACAAAATTGACTAGTAGCTTCTATATTTTTGAAAATATTTTTGTATGTCCATTCATCTATATTTATGATTAGAAACTCGAAACGTTTTTACAGTTTACATATGTACAGCATAGTACTAGAGCAAGGTTTTAGTTATATATCTGACCTATATGGAATCTGATCATGAAAGAAATTGCAATTTTTTTAGAGATGTAGTCAAGTAATAATAAGTAAATGGTTCAGTGGTTAAGCGTTCGCTCAAGAGACTGATAGGTCCTCGGCGGGATCGTGGATGAGCATTGCTGTGGAGTCCTACAATAGGACAAAACGGCCGTCCAGTGCTTCTGGGCTTTCCATGGTGGTCTAGCTTCAATTGGCTCATGATCTCAACTATTAAAATAATAATGGTTTGTCGATTTTGAAAATTTCTTTTAATAATTTTTCCAGTGTTACAGATTCTTACCACAAACATATAAATTATAAAAACAAAGCAGAATATCAGACATGATGCATAGTTTAAAGTGAAGCAGTTAAGTGATTTACAATTAATAGTAATTTATACCATAAAATGATTAAAGCTAGACAAATCTATAAGATGAAGAGCAATGCCCAGTTGTTTTGTCCTAGTATGAAACGACTAATTGGTGTAAGCCACACAGTCTGTACGAAGGATCCAACGTAACAGGTTTATACCCGCAGAAAGATTTAGTGGATACCTGGAGACTCGGAAGTTTGTTGAATAACATGTTAGTTTTTAAGACCATCGGCATTATTCGCAAATTATAGTAAGATCATCATACCAGTAAGTTGGCATGAAGAGCTGTCGAGTTCCATATAAAAACGAAGTATGAATCTTGAATTCCACTTTTAGCCTAGATCTGGAAAAAAATTGTATAACTATTTTGAAAAAAATCACGATCAACTAGGTGAGCTTTTTGTCTGAATGTAAAGAAATTTCAACAACTCATATTGATAAATTCATACTGTATCAGACTATAAAATGTTAAGTTTTGTAAAGAGCTAGATTTTGCATTGATATCCAATGGCTGATGTTCTCATTTTAAATGAATTCATGATATTATATTTGTTAACACTCAACTATCACCATCCATATATACTGTTATACCCGAATAGACCCAAGAAGACCCAAATAGTTTTGAAATAGCTATGTTCACTTCTTCTTGGCTATCAACGAGTCTCAATTACATATCAGTCCGTGGTGAAAATAAATTCACTTGGAATCAATGACACATTTATCATGACTTTATTGATATGCTCTGGTATCCATAAAGTAGTTAGTTTATGTCTACATATTTTTTTATAGACCTAACCGAATCTGTGAAAATAACTCACTATTATCATCGTTTAAGTCTGACAAAATTCAGGCTAACAGTAAATTATAACAATAAACATTTTCACTTATTAAAGCTTATATAACGATGGTGTATACGACACAATACAACATTTAACGTTTATTATGTTTGTTTGTTTTTGATAGAAGGTAAATTAAAATTACGACAATAAACAACATTCATATCAATTATTATTACAGAATATATACAAACAGACAATCAATGTACAACAAAAGTTTTTTATAATCAAATAACAACATGTATATGGATAAGTACAACAGATGAGTAAACCACGGACCTGTACGACGTTCCATATCAGCAGTTTTTACTTGTAATGGTCTT